TTACTTTATATATATATATATATATATATATATTTTTTTTTTTTTATCTTTTTATATATTAGTATATCTTTCTTTGAGAACTCACACTCACTCCTCCGCCATTCCATATCCCATCCCACTTAGACCCGCCAACAATTCATGGAATTCCACCTAAATTCAAGCTCGAGATTAATACGTTATCTTTATATTCTTTTTTAATTTAATGTTAAAGATAGCATTGACATTAATATTAGAACTGTATATGTTCTATAATCAAACAGTTGTTTTTGAACTGGTAAAAAATTTTACACTCTACGAGGTAAAATTACTGTTATATTACCAAAAAATGTTAATTTCTTTTTTTTTGTCACTTTTTTTTTATTTTTTACATTTATTACTTAAAATATAAACTCTATCATTTTATTTTTTATTAATAAATTTCACCTGTTAAAATCTAACCGTCAATAAAAAAACGTAAAAAAAAAAATTACAGAGGGAGTGTATCTTATTTGTACAATTATAGAATCTATTTAGTTCGTTGATTTGAATTTTTAATTTGAGTTGAGATGTAATTTTATGTGAGAATTTTTTACTGTAGTAAAAATTTAAATGTGACTGTTTTTTAGAATTTTTTTACTGTAACAAAACTCAAATTTTAAACTCAAATCGGTGAAATGAACGGAATCATAATCTCGTTCACTTCGCGAATTCGAATTTTTAATTTTAATTAAAATGTGATATTTTTTAAAAATTTTTATTATAATAAAAAAAATTAAATGTCATATTTTTTTAAAAAAATTTACTGTAAAAATTAAAAATTAAAAATTTAATTCTGTAAATGAACGAAGTCAAAATACTTCTTTCTTTTTTCGCTCCATCTCACAAATTTATTTATTTTTTTTAAAGGGAAATGCATAGACAAGGTTGTCAGTGAGTTTAGGTTCCCAAGTCCAAGTGTCGTACTGACTTATCACAGCTTTCCAAGAGTCCAAGTTCCAACACACCCAATATTTCCTCATTTCGTCATCTAAACGCGACCATTTCTAATTTAATTTAGCAATATCTCTCCTCTATCCTTCCAATCTCATCACCATACTCACCGTCTCACCGACCTTATTCAACGTAATTTCTGGAGAGAGAGACCTGAGCAACAATGGCGGACTGGGGCCCAGTGTTGATAGGAGTGGTGCTGTTCGTGCTGCTTCAGCCGGGCCTGCTCTTCCAGCTGCCCGGCCACAGCCGCCCCATGGAGTTCGGCAGCATGAAGACCAACGGCAAGTCCATCGCCGTCCACACTCTCATCTTCTTCACCCTCTACGCCATTCTCATCTTAGCCGTCCACGTCCATATCTATACCGGTTGATCATGATCAATCATCATCGATCTTCTCTTCTCAATCTGGGTTTGTTTGTCCTCACCTTGCTAGCTAGTATTACTGTTCCAGATCTAAATTTGCTTCCTTTTTCTTTTTCTTTTGCTTTATTTATAGATCTTAAGCTGTGTACTGGGAATTGTTATATATGTACCCCTCTTTAATTTGAATATAATTATTTAGTTATGCATGAAAGGCCTCAAATTAATTTCTTGACTGATTAATTTGAGTAGCATTTGAATCTTTCTTTCTTTCTTTCGAAGTGTTTGTCTTTGTAATTAATTTGGGAAAAGCTGTTCACATAAATGTTTATTAGTAGATAACTGATGATGGTTTGGATTAAACGTTTCTAGAACTAGCGTTTTCAATCTTATTCGGCCCGAATTACAGATCATAATAATGGAGCATTTTTTTCAAACGTCATGTGCTCTGTGGTCCACTTGAAAAGCATGCAAAACGATAAAAAAAAAAAAAAATGTATTAAGACCCGTTCATTTCGCTGATTCGAGTTTAGAATTTAAATTTTGCTACAGTTAAAAGTTTTCACAAACAGTCACATCTAACTTTTTTGCTACAGTAAAAAGCTCTCACATAAAGTCACATCTCAACTCGAATTAAAAACTCGAATCGGCGAACTAAACGGGCCCATTAATATTGTTTGGCGGTATTACAAAAATACGATATAAGAATAGTGACAATACGTGTTGCTTGTCGTGTTCGTATTGTGTTAATTTTTTCGGTTGACATAATAAAATTTGACGCGAACACGATTCATTTATTATTTGTGTTGAAATATAAAATTTAAATACGATCTGTATATTAACAAGTTGACACAACACGATATGACTAACTCGTTTATTAAACATATTATAATAGTATCGTATCAACCTGTTTTTAAATTTCGTTTATAAAATAAGTGATAATAAAGTCGTGTCAACCTATTTATCAACTTGTTTTTCTTTAAAAAAATTATATATTTATAAACATATGTAACAAACGGGTTGTAATTATGTTGTGTATTTGTGTTACTTAAATATGACACGTTTAATAAACGAGTTATGACGAGTCAATTGTAAGTTGATGGGTCAACTTGAAAATGACACGCTATTTAATGTATATTACAGGTTCGATATGATTTTGACCCAAACCTATTTATGATAAACTTAAACTCGCTAATTTTGTGTGAATTTCGAGTCGTATCATTGTGTCACTATCTGGATTACCAGTTATATAGGATGATTATTATGATTATATGGTATGTGAAATTCATGTGCAATTTATGACCTGTGGTCATGTTGACAACACTAATAACATCACTTATGTCCATTAGCGACCGGCGAGTTCACATTTACTTTATCTTCTTATGGGTCTCCATGAGTGTTACTAGTAAAATGCAAATACTTTTTTTAGGGGATGTAAAATGCAAATATATATTACGTGCTTCTTTTATGAAAAATCACTACTTTTTTAGGGGAGTAAAATGCAAATACAAATTACGTGCTTCAATAATGAAAAAAATTCGTGATTCAGTTATCGAACAAAAGGACTAGTGCTAATTTGTTTATTTTGAAATTTATCGTGGACTGTGTTTGGTCGGCGTCGCACGTGCTTGGACATGGACTTGGGAAGAATTGTAATATTTGTTTCTGCGCTCAATTTAGTATTTATATTTTACTCCCTTGATTCAAGTGCTTTTGTGCAATAATAAAATTCCACCAGCATATGATCTAACATAAGTTAAGAAGCAAGGGGTTTGTTTTCTACGTACGTCTTGCTTGGTTTTTATTTGACTTGATTTTGGGTGTTTATGGAGAACGTAATAGCATATTGACCACTTTCATGAATTCTTATGCCTATGCAATTTTTTTCCCTTAATTCCTTAAAAAAAATTGTTTTTCTTAATACAATCAAAATAATAGTCTAAGAAACTTGGTTTTTTAGCAATTTTGGCTTGAACTTGGGAGATATATGTAATAAGAGAAACTTAATCACATCAACAAACTTTCATGTGGTCACGTCTTTGGTTTATTCTTAATCATGTATATATCATTACAAACAATTGATAAAGGTGTCTTACACTAGAAAAACAAGGAGAACAGTTGAGACAGTTGATTGATCATATGGGGGGAAAAAAAGGAAAAGAAAAGTAACAAGTTTTCATCTTGAACAAAATAAATAAACACATGATTCCAAAAAAAAAAGAAGAGAAAAAGGAAAAACCCCAATAGTATAAAATATAAATTATACGATGGGATCAGTTTACATGTATATGAATACCAATTGCAACGACCAAGATGGTGAGTATGCAGAAGTATATAATGGCATGAACCAAAATAGCTATACCACTTGTATTCATGTTACCAAACTCCATCACTCTTGTTCTTGCTGGCACTTGGAATAGAAGCCCTGGTGATAGCAATATGAACAGCACAACTGCCACAACCACTGGTCCCCAATCAGCACCCATCTCTCTCTCTCTCTCCTCTCTCTCTCTCTCTCTCTAAGCTTCTTTTTCTTTCAAATTGGCTATGTGGGTGTGGTAGATATTTTGTGATCTTCAGATGAGTGATCAAGAAAGTGAGGCTTGTTGCTTAATATGTAGCTCACGAAGGGTCATGAAAAGGGTCACAATTTTCTTAGTGAAGAAGGAGAGATCATTGGGATGCTAAACTTGGCGAGAAAGAAGACAATGGGTTTAAAAGAGAAGAAAGGAATGTTAATTAAGCTGGTGGAGTTGCTTTTTGGAAATTGAAACAAAAACTTTTTACTTTCATTAGCTTCTAATAATTGGCCACAAATATTAATTGGTCCTCTTTTTTCGGCTCGCTCGCTTTTGAAATTGATGAATTGTGAGAAAGGCTTTTTAAAAGCCAAGACAAAACCTAATGCAAAATGAAGTGTAAAGTTGCTACTCGTGGCTGTCTCGTTCACTTCGCTGATTCGAGTTTAGAATTCGAGTTGAGATGTGATTTTATGTGAGAGCTTTTTACTGTAGCAAAAAAATTAGATGTGATTGTTTGTGAGAGCTTTTTACTGTAGAAAAACTCGAATTCTAAACTCGAATCAGCGAAGTGAACGGGGCACGTGTTCTCTTAATTTGCTTCCATTTTTTGGTTTCCGTTTCTCTAGAAAACTCTTCAATGAGTGCCAAAAAAAAAAAAAAAAAAAGGAAATTAGAATGGAGCATAAGACATGGCTTGGACTAGAATTAATGGAGGTCAGTGTTTAGAGTACAAACAATGGTTTTGGAATGAATTGATTCTTAGATAGAGAATATGGAATTAGACCCACAGCAACGTAATAAACATACCAAGGAAGCATCTATGTTGCCAATTCTTGAAGCAAATATTAATGAGTAATGTTGGGGTCTCTAACTTTTATTTTAATTTTTAATGCATGTGCGAGCTTTTTTTTTTTTTTTTTTTTTTTTTTTTTTTTTTTTTTTTTTTTTTTTTTTTTACTCATTCAGTGTTTAAATAATTGTTGTGTTAATTTATAACGTTGGAAATTTTCCTTTTTTTTTAATAATTGAAAAGTTGTTTTTTACTAATCCCTTAAAAAAAGAAAGTTGCATTTATCAATATAAAAAAAAACCACAATTCACATATTGTATGTGAATAAAAAAATTAAAATAATTACACAAAACAAAAGGCCCTAATGAATAGGGCATAATTAATTAAATCGTATAACACTTAAAAAGATACAGCCAACTGGTCATATGATTTTCTGCTTACATGTGCGCTTTTTCAGTACTTCAATTGTAGGAATGATTAGTTCTAATAGTTTACTTTTTTTTTTTTTTTTTGAGAAGTAGTTGATTGAACTGTGTTCTTATCTTAACATGCAGGTTTTTTGTTCATAAAATTTACTACAAGGAATGCTTGTCAAAAGGAGTTTATAATTAATTAACCGCTTCGGAGATTTTGGTTTATTATCATGAATTTTAGGTTTTTTATATTGAATAATAGAAAGTTTAGAATTTCAGGATAACTTGGTTTATAATTTAATATATAGTGAAGTTAATCTTTGACCTGCTGCTTTGTCTACTTTTAGAACTAAACCAAGAAATTCTCGGGCATTCCCAAGCCTATATATATATATATATATATATATATTATATACCTTCGCATAGAAGAAACCAGAAACTGATATGATGCATGTACTCTTGAGAAATTTGAGCTCTGACTGCTTCGGATCCATGATAAAAGTATTGGATAAAGCATAACAGAGATCTTAAATGCAGGTGTGGGCAAACATGCTAAAAGACACAATTTCATTCACTACCTTAAATTAAGATCTCGTTCAGTTTATGAATTCGAGTTTTTAATTTAAGTTGATATGTAATTTTATAGGAGAGTTTTTTATTGTGATTTTTTGTAAAATTTTTTAGTTGTGACAAAATTAAAATTAAAAACTTAAATTGGTAAAATGAACGAGACCTAAATTTTTTTTATTTTCTCACGTAAATTGGCTTAAATTTCAAGAGTGCTTATTTTTTAGCACCTTATACTTCTTCATAACTGTAGACCATAATCTACATTTTAAAATAAACATCCATTCTTAACATTTTTCCCCCACTAATGTCACTATCTACTTTGTTAGAATTTCCTTAACAACTAAAGTCTAATCCAGAGCTAAAATAATAATAAAACTACCTTTTCCCCCTCTTTATCTTCTTTTACCTTTCTAGTTAATCTATCAATGCTTCTTTCTTAAAGAAATCAAGTGTAAAGTTGAATTTAATTTAATTTTCAAAATTGTGTAAAGATATTACGGATTCAGATAGTGACGAAGGTGCACTTTGGTTTATTTGGAACTTCAAAATTTTAACTACTAAGGAGTTGTTATTTTACAATGAAACTAAAAAAAAAAAATTTAAACTCAGAGTTACAATTTTATTTAAGTTCATGTTAATTTGTAAAATTTGAGTTTGAATTCAAGTTTGTACTCGAGTTTGGCGCTAAACTCGAGTTCAAGTTTTCTTTTCAACTCGAGTTTATAAACTCAAACTCAAGTTAATAAATAATATTTTTTCTATTCTTAAAAATGCCATAACTTTTTCGTTTTAATTCCGATTGAGATTATTTTTCTTTCTATGCGTTCACAATGAAGAGACGAATAAAATCCCACTCATATACCATATTAAAATTTTTCATCACCATTGAATTTTTATTAAAATACTATCTAAATATAAATTTAAGTTTTGACCCACCCAAACACAAACTCAAATAGATTTTCAATTCAAATCATAACTCACATGTGTACATCCACACATAAACTCACGTTACAACTTCAACTCAAGTTATAACTTAAACTCAACTCAAGATCATCACTCAAGTCACCCTAACTCAAAAATGTAAAAGAACAACCCCTAAGATTTCGGTTGTTTTATATATTCAAACTTAAATTATTGATTATGTTACAATATTTTTTTTTCACAAAAAATTTAAATTTCAAATGTATGAATTAAGAATCATAGTTTGAGTATACTTTATAAATAGGCCTTAAGTATCACTGAAAGCAAATACTTGGGACAAAATCAAAATTTGAAGAAAATTAATTAAATTTGCATTTAAAAGATAGAAAATCTAGAGGAATGCCTGCGAGAGAGGAATAAAGTTTTTTGCGAGAGAGAAATTTTGACGAGAACTTGCTGAAACTACGAATGCTTGTCTAATGAGGGGGCATAAAAATTTATGTTGCTCTATGCATATTCTATACTCCTTTTTTTATATTTTAAAACTAAATTAAAAATGCTGACATTTTAAGAAAGTAAGATAAGATTACATAAAATTAAAAAAAGAAAATTTAGAGATGTATGGTGCATTTAGAACTCATTTTAAAATGATTTTATTTTTTGTATGAAAGTGAAAATGAAAACGTTTTTGAAAATGCATTTAGTAGTTTTATTAAGAGATTATTTTCAGTATTAAAAAATCAATTAATGTCTCTCTATATTTAAGAGAAGAGAAAACGAAAATAAAAAATTATAAAGAAAAATTTTATTCACATCTCAAAAACTATAAAGACATCCCTTAATTAGTAAAATGACTAAAAAGAACAATTTTTTTTTAAAAAAAGTATAAACTCATTGTCCTTTTGTTATGCATCCCACACATAAATTTCTCCTAGAACCTTCTCCTTCCTCCTCACTCAACTCTCTTTTGTTATGCATCCCACGCACAAATCGCTACAATATTTTCTCTCACAAAAAATACACGTAAATCGAAAATAATTCTGAATTATGGTTCTAATCGTCTTGTCAATAAAATTTTTCTTGAGTAAATTACATGAGATATCACTGTAATTTAAAAGTCTTATTTTAAGGTCAATTGAATTGTGGTCAAGGACGGAGCTACATGGGGTCTGTGGGGGCTTGTACTTTCACTCATTATTTTTATCTATTTAATTTTCAACTATAATTTTATATAATTTTACAATTGTGCTCCCATCAAAATATATTTCTATAAAAAGTGACCCTATTTATTTTTTTCTTGAACCTATCCCACTATTTTAAGTTATTTAATTGGTTTTCTTACTTAATCTCCTATATAGCCACAATTCTTTTGGTTGAATAATCTTAGCAATAGTTGATCTCTTTTTTATTATCCACTTTTTTCTTCCACGCTTTTATAAAAAAGTTTTGTTTGATTTTGAATTAATACTATTTAAACAGAATAAGTTTGTGTTGTTTAATTATGTGTGAATTTTACTTCTTAATCTTAAGGATAGCTTTGACTTGCATATTTATAATTTATTTCTTAAAGAAAATTGTTAGTAACTATAAGGAAAAAAATAAAAATGGTGAGAAATAAAAAAAAAAATTCTTGTGAGTGTCCAACACTGAAATAAAATCCTAGCTCTGTCCTTGACTATGATTTAAGTTTAAACCAGTGTTTATTTACAAAAAATAAAAAGTGGTTTGAACTCAGTCTATTAAAATCAATGTTTGGTTTAAAAAGAAAATATTTAAGATTTAAATCCTCACGTGATGTTTTAACTCTTTGAACCCTAAAAAATATAAAACCACTCATTCCCTTAGTTTTAGCTGGTAGCCACACATAGTTCAAACTCAAAAGTTTAAATTATTCTGATTTGAACCCTCATAAAAGTGACATTATTTAAATGACATTTTTAGATTTCTTCCTATACTTTTTCTAGACATATAACAAAATTTGACTAGTTACATTAAAATATAGCAAAACATTTAGAATATCTTAAAAATAATAAAATTACTATAATTAAATAATTACAACGTAATTTTTGCTATTTCAAAAATATTTCATAAAATTTGTTAAATTTCAATAAATTCGAAGTCCAGTATGATTTTTACTAAAACAGCCGTCCAAACAAACAAAAAGAGATCAGGAAGACGTATGGGCAATGCCGGCCGATAACTCCGAAGGAGGCCGTAGCTTTCAATGCAGAAATCAAATCCATTAATCCAACGCTACAACGACCCTTTTGCCGATTCCGAACTCTTTCTTCGTCACTTAGCGTTTTTGACGCTTTCGTCCTTTGTCTTTCTCTAACGATCCCTTTTAATGGCGGTTTGTAATGCCATTTTGTTCAAACTAATACTAATTAGTAGTAGTACAATTACTTAATCAGCAGAATTAAAGATAAAAGGAGAAATTTAGAAAAATGGCGGATTGGGGACCAGTGCTGATAGCGGTGGTGCTGTTTGTGCTGCTGATGCCGGGGCTGATATGTCAGGTGCCGGGGAACAGCCGAGCAGTGGACTTCTGCAACCGACAAACAAGTGGGATTTCCATTTTTGTCCATACTCTCGCATTCTTCGGACTTATCATTATCTTCTTCATTGCTATTGGGGTTCATATCTATATTGGCTGAAACACTGCTCTGTTGCATGCATGGCTCCTACATCAACATATGTCCGCTGATAATTTGTAATGTTTTCAAGCCTTTTTTGTTAGGTCGTTAATTCATGATATATGGAGTTAAATATATTAGTTTTCGCCTTCTAATTAACTTTTCTGAACTTCATATATATGTTAATTGATACAAAATATGTTGTATTTTTTCCTGTTTGAGGAGTGATTAGTGGATAAATACAAAATATGTTGTATTTTTTCCTGTTTGAGGAGTGATTAGTGGATAAATACAAAATATGTTGTATTTTTTTTTTTTTTGAATAAAATTAATTGATTGATATTTGATAGCGTAAATGAGAAAAGAAACGACAAATAGATTAGCTTTTAAGCAAGAAAACGACATATATTCCATGTTCTTCTATAGCCGCATTGCCTTTGCCGTTTGAGAGCCTTCTATTGTTTAAGTAGAAAACCGACACAGAAAACGACATGTAGTTTTCACATTTAATAGTTTGCTGGACTTCATTTAGGGCACAGAAAAGTTGTTCATTATTCAAATGTTTGCGCTGTCGTTTAAAAGTAAATCGTACTGTCGCTTTTGGTTCAAAGGAGCGCTGTCGTTTTTAACAACCACTTGGTAGATTCCTGTTCGGAGGGAAGACATTCCGGGCGTTTACATTATACGGTGCTTCAGGAAACGACATGAAGCAACAGCAACTATATGACTAATGAATAATGTTAAGAATACTGACTCAAATTTTAACTTTTATATTTCAACAGATGTGATATATGAATTGTCATTTTTATATTAATATATATTTAAAATATAGTCACGTTAATTAAAAATAAGAGATTATATCTACTAATTAAAAGATAACTACTCATATATTAGTAAATAAGAGTTGGAATTTGACTGTCCTAGCATTATTCTATATATGTGTGTGTGGGGGGCTATAAGCCTATAACGACATGTAGCAAACACGAGATTGCTATCTGCTATTTATTTAGACGACGTGTCACATGTATAATATAACTTCTTGCTGTTAAATTTAATTATTGCCGCCTGCCTTCTAGAAACTTTCAGCGTTTGAAGTAAAATGGCAGCAAAAATCACTGCTGACAAGTATGTACCCGTTATACCAAGAGGCGACGTTTAATTTGTCGTTCAAATGACTATAATAAGTCAAACAACAAAATAAACGTCATTCGTCCTTCAAAAGTTGCCGATGTACTAATGGCGTTTGCTGCCGTTTTATGTGCAAAAATTAGATCGTTTTTATGTTAACTGGTTGAACCAAAACGACATGTCGTTTATCAGAAGTTAGCCGCCCTTAGTTAAGGGGAAAGTTCACATCGTAGCTTCCTTCAAGACTGGGATATTAGTGGCCCTCCATGGAAAAATGAATGGCACGTTTGGTTATGGGTTCAAGTCAATTTTAATTCTGAATTTAAATTTTGTTAAAGAATCCATTGCCATAACATTTTTTAATTTGATTTTTTTTATTGTGAGTAAAATATCATAATCATGAATTCAAGTTAATAAACTAATAAACTAAACGGACCGCCTTCTTTAACATATTGAATTCTGTAACTCAGTTTTTCTATAACAAAGTGCTTTTCTTCGGTAAATTACAATCAAAGTTTCCAACCAGAGGGAAAAAAAAAAAAAAAAAAAAAACAAACAGGATCAAAGGTTCAGAAACGTATATTGGCATCAATTGTGAAAGCCTGCTTTTGCTGACCAAGCACATACCTTGGCGATGCGATGAACTACAAAATTGTCATAATTCTTGAACAGCCCTCTACTCTAGTCAACAAAAATTGATGTTATTCAAGTCTACTTCAAAATCTTGTATTGATCTATTTGATCACATATACGTTGGCATTGACGGGTCTCTTTCTACATCAGATAATCCTTATCCACGACCATGTTTCTCTTCTAGAAAAAAACACAGAATGGTAAACCCAAAAGCATACCAAAGAAAGAAAAATTGATGGAGAGGCTCAAAATGTGGAAACTACATCAAAGTATAATATGTTACCTTAATTCACTGTAAGATCCTGTTGATTTTACCGATTCGAGTTTAGAATTTGAGTTTTGTTATAGTAAAAAGTTTTTAGAAACAGTCACATCAAACTTTTTTATTACAGTAAAAAATTCTCACATAAAATCACATATTAACTCGAATTAAAAATTCGAATCAGCGAACTAAACGGGTCTTAAGAAACTTTCATCCAGAGTTCAAACAAAAATAACAGAAACCCCAGCGTACGTAAGTTTGGAAATCCGTGGCAGAGAAAATAGCAACATATCAAATACAATGTTTACATAACTGTCTAAATTTTGTCAATAGCTGCTTCTATAACCACAAGGAACAACTTCTTTTAACTTTCTATACTAGTACCCATGCGCATCATACTCGCGAAAAGCTGCAATAACAGTTGATACACATGTATGAATTAAGATCCTCACACTTCAAATCTACAACGTTAAAAAGAAGAGTAACCCACCCAATCCCATATAATAATCGTTGCAGAAAAACAACAAATTACCTGTGAAAAAAGTAATACAATGGAAAAAAAAAAAAAAAAAAACTACCGAGTATTAAGACTCGTTTAGCTTGCTGATTCGAGTTTTTAATTCGAGTTTAGATTTGATTTTATGTAAGAGCTTTTTACTGTAACAAAAAAATTAAATATGGCTTTTTCTGAAAAAATTTTAACTGTAACAAAACTCAAATTCTAAATTTAAATCGGTGAAAGAACGAGATATTAATATGAATGTGATCTATAATGTTATATTAATATCAGTGCAAAGCTTAAATATAGAATGTCAATAATAGAAGGGATTTTAGGATAAGTGACCTTTTTTTAAAAAAAAAATTCACAAATGCTCAAGTTTTGTAAAATTATAAAAATAATACTTTTTTGTGATTGGGCGCTCTTATAACTGATCGACTTATTTATGATTAGCTCGATAATTTTTTATTATTAATTAACTAAAATAAGTTATTAATTAATTAATTTTAATTAATAAATTAAGAATTTATTAATGATAAATTATTAATAAAATAATATGAATTGTTTAACCAATAATTGACCGTGGATAATAAAAAAACCATTTAGCTAATTTTTCCATAATAAAAAGCCATCAAAATCCAATTATAGCAGTTGCACATTACAAGAAACAAGGAAAAGACAACAGAGGACTTCTATAAACACTTCAAAAGAAATGGAAGGGCAGAAAAAAGAAAAAAAAATCTTTGTTGAAATCTTGCTTATACCATTAATGAAAAAATAAATAAATAAAAAGAGACCTTAAAATAGAAAAAGAAAAACAAGAAAAAAAAGGCAGTCTTTTTTTACCTGCAGAGACGTGTCTGGGAGAAGAAGCGGGGAAAAGAATGGAGCGACCCAATTCAGACAAATTGAAGAGAATCTCGAGGGCGTAGAAGAGCAGGACCAAGCCCATGACCAACGGCATCAACACAAACCCGATCGCAAACGTCACCGACCCGAACAGCATCAGAGCCAGAGAGATCCCCAGAAAAAGCGATGCGAAAGCCGTCGGAGAGGCCGCCGCCGGCTGTCTCGAGGTCGACGCGGACGCCGACGACGAAGACGTTCTGATGGTGAAGGGGATGGGGAGGGGAGGCAATTTGAGGATATGGATGATCATGGAGCTCAGCTCGTGGAAAACCCTAGATTGCTGGTCTTCATCCTTCATCTTTTTAAAAAAAAAAAAAAATTGAGAAACTCTCAGAGACTATAATTAACTCAGCTCAAAAGTTTGGGAAGAAAGAAGATGAGATCAAGAACTCTGAATTGAATTTCCCTTATCTGATAGTGATAGAGAACTCGCCGGGAAGGAGTAGAGAGAGAAATTGATTCAGCACAGCACAGCAGTCACCAGAGATTTCTTCGAAATCGCGCCTTTTCTGCACTGTGGTATGGTGTAGGGTCCACCCGTTAAATTTTTAGTTTTGGGCCAGAATGGGCCTCGCATTAACTGTATAAGAAGTGACTAAAAGCCCAATCTCTCAACAGGCTACACAACCCATAGCTGAGGTGCATTTCTGTACGAGAATAAGATGGAAAAGAAATGATTTGATTGTAATTTTAAGAATATTATGAAATGAATGTAATTATTTTCATTTGGACGAAACTATCCTTTCTTAAATATATACATACATACAACAATTCTTTTTAGCAAAAATAAAAATAAATATAAAAAATATTTATAAAAAATTTGCAAAAGACAAGTCTTGGTCGATTTTTCCTTTGCTTTACCATCTCTGATACAAAATCACTAGTTTCTGTCAATCTCCAACAAAGCTCGAATGCTTAATCTTTCCTTCAATTTGTCGTCTGGGTGGTTCTTTGTTGGCATGCCGTGCACCCACTCGGCTCTCCAAGGATGAAAAGCTTCAGGTCTTGCTTTGTCCATTAACCAAATAACTGGGGCTGTGTTCTCAACGATGCGCTAGGTGGAGGAATGTTGATCTTGACTGTGAAGGGCGGTGGATCTGTGCGAGGCCAGTTTGGGCAAGGAGTTGCGGAGGGTGGGTGTGCTCGATGAGCAAGCGGAAGGCAAAGGAGGAGAGGATCTGGCGATGGAGAGCGACGGAGAAGAAAGACTTTAGCTCGCCGGAGCGGGATTTAGCAAATGAGCAACAACGGATCTGGAGAATCTGGCAGAGGAGGTCGAGTTGTTGGACGCATTTGTCGAGGAGAACAAAACACGAGCTCGCCGGAGTGGGTCGTCGGCGACAATGGCTTCCGATGGGTTTGGAAAGATGATTAGAGGTGGCGGTGGAGATAGGCTGAAGTTGATGATGGTGATGTTCCAGAAAAAAAAAAAAAAAAGATAGGAATCGTCATTCCTCCCATTCTAGAGAGGAATCACATTCCTCTTTTTAAATACAACCGAACACCATATTAAGATTCTTTTTTTTTTCTTTTTCTTTTTTTTTTTTCCCAAGCAAACACACTTTAAAAGAGTATGGATGAAAATTTTTATCTCTTAATTTTTATTAATAATCTTTTAAATTATTTTCAGAATTCTTTAAATTATGTATCTTGTTTCAAAATTTTCTAAATTATTTAAAATGATTCAAAATATAATAATTTTTTAAATTATTTTCATAATTCCTTAAATTATATATCTTGTTTTAAAATCTCCTAAATTATTTAAAATGATTCAAAATATTCTCTAATCTATAAAAAATAGATCAAATAGCTTCTTCTGTGTACACACTTGATAGAATTGATGTTTAGGTATTAATAAAAATGAAAAATGCTACAATACTGGACACTTTAACGGTATTCATATGTTCCATCTGACAGTTAGAAATTTTTAGATTTAATGTGGGCCCCCAGATTAAAGGAGAGTTTGTGGAATGAGTAGCACCGGATTGACTTTCTTTTCTTCTTCCTTTGTCTCTCTTCTACATTTTCAGCTTCCCTATTTCCATGATATTTTGATATTGATATTTCCACTTCTTGAAAGATTGAAATTCCAAAATCAAAACAAAATTGAAGAAACTGCGCAATACCCACATCCTAAATAGAAAGCAATAGTATGTCCTTGGGTTTCTAGAATTGGAGATCAAAACCCAGATCTGATTATGATCTCAGAATGTCAACTTTTTTTTCCCTTTTCAACTATATTTGGGAGTGTATTGATTTTAGTCTTTTATAAAAAATACATACTCATATAGAAAAAATGAACCCACAACGAAAAGTGGGAAACAATAAAGCTTTTAATGGCTGGTTTTTTGTCTCCTTGCCAAGGATAGGGGTAAATAACATGGAAACGATGAAGTAATACATGTAAAATGCAAGAACAATTGAACGAGAGATTTCCTTTTGATATTTGCATTTATTCTCTTGAAGAACTCAAATGAGGGATTTCTAGTTTTCAATCTTATTTCTCATTCATTAAAACACAGATTCAAGCAAAGGAATGGAACCCACAAGACCCAATTCCTCACTCCTTCCCAGACCCTATACCCATGTCCTAAAATGTTGTTGTTTACTTCAAAGTCCCCACACCATTTGGCAAGGCTGCTATGATGCAACCCCCCTCTGGTGTTAATTTGCAAGCAAATTTGGTCACCATCGGATCTCGCCAACCCCGAAGCCCTCCGCCGCGCAAGCCAGGTTGACCTGTCGCCCTTCATGGTACTGCACGAACCACCCTTCCTCGATCTCGCCCGCCACGCAAGCTTCCCGTCACACCGCGCCAAGCCTTCCCCCTCATGAACAACCACCTCCAAGCCCGCCAGCCTCCATCATTGTAGTTGCGTCAGGCCAAACCTGCCGTTTTCAGCTCAATGTTTGACCACCAACAAAGATAGAAGAGGAAGAGATAGAAGATTTGAGTTTTGAAATAAATGTTTTTGTTATTATTATTTTTTAATATTTTTGTTTTTATCCTTTTTAGGGGTTATTATCTTTATCTATTTAATTAGAATCTAATAATTTTAATTAATTTTTAAGCATGCCATGTCAGCAAATGTTTATTTAATGTCATTAATTAATCTTTAACACATGTCACGTCAGTAAAATCGGTTAAAATAATAGACGTAAGTGGATGAAGGACCATTTTAAATAGTATATAAAGATGTATTTTGAACTGTTTTAAAAAATTAATAGGCATTTTAAAATATGGTACAAGTTTAGAGAGTATTTATGAAAATAATCTTAATCCTTTTAGTTGAATAACTATACTAATAAAAGAATATTAATTAAAAATAAGAGATCAAAATCTAAATTCGTATACTTTTAAAGATAAATTATGTAATATTCTCTTTCTCTTTTTCTTTTTTTCCTTTTTCTCTCTCTCTTCTTCTTCTTCTTGTTTCTTTTTCTTTCTTTTGTAAATCAGCTTTCTCTCTCTAGAAAAGGCTTTAGATGGCTAATGGTTTGGAGATTTGGAATTAATACGTCCATCTTTTGCAAAAATACTTACTTTTTTACCAAGAAGAAGTTAGCGTGTAAATTTATGTAACACTCCATGTTGTAATAAAAAACCAAAAGTTGTCAAGTGAATTTACAATTTATTATCTAATTTTCCAAGGTTAATTTTTAACAAATTAGGCAAAACTTGTCTAAATTAGTAAGTTCATTTTTTTTATAAAACAATTAATTATTGTTATTACTATGGAATTCTTATTATGTTTTCTTATTTTCTTTTTCTTTTTGACGTATGGTTTATTTTCATTTCAACTTTAATTTCAAAACAATACTACTCTTTTTTGTGTTTGGCGAACTATATACGTATTAAAAGTATTACAATCTTAAGTCGAGAAAAAAAGTATTGCAAATTTACAATCTATTTTCATTCTACCAAATATTTGGATTGAGGATCAATGTCATTGCAGCTGGTAGAGCTTAAAACTCAACTTTTGGACATTTGAAAAGAAAAAGAGACGACCAACCTAGCTAGTCACCATTCACCATCTTATTGGATAATGTCAATTTTTGATTATTATTATTATTATTATCTATTTATTTATTTATTTGCTAAGATATCAATTTGGGTCAAAGGTTAATTGATAAAACAAAAAGGACAAGCTAGAATCCGGGGCATGCCCTATTGTCATGGACAGGTAAAAAGAAAGCAAAATGTTCTTGCGCATTATTGTATTTGACTGCTGTAGAACTAGATATTATTATATTCCGTCTTGATCAAAGATTCCTTTTCAAGTTGGTGAGTTATTATCAGTAATTTTCATGTATCATTAATTGGATAGGCCTAAAACAGAGGTGATTAATAAGCCTCTAAACATATTTTATTACAAGATATTTTAAAAGAATTCGTAGTTATTGGGTAATTAGCTAGTACCTACCAGCCTCGAGAAATCAATTCCATTGCTGCTAATTGGGAAACTTCAGCTTTATCAAAGGTGTTATTTTTCTAAGGCCTGTGGGACTGTGGCACCTGATATTGATGTGTATACAATATATATACATATATATTATGAAACTTTTTTGTATCTATGAAGAGAGAATAAATTTAGGCGTTTGCTTTTATTTGTTCTCTGTCTTTCTCACTTGTGCACTTTTAACAGTGCTGAAAGGCTGGAGAATCGATAGATTGTACGCTTAAATAATGTTGATGATCTTTAGTAGAAATTTTAGTTAAAGAATTAAAGTATGTATGAATATTCTCCAATATTAATCTGAGACATCACCTTGGTGTGGTTTCAAATTTTGGTAACAATTTACACGCGTCCTCTTGTAATTAGACATAATATATATATATATACTAGTTGAAGAACACATGCTATACACGTAGAGTAATCGCGTATTAAATTTTAATTACCATATTATTATTAAAAGCATATAAAAACTCAAAAAGAAACTAAAATTTTAAAAAAATTAAGTTTTAGAGTGAGTAGCTAAAAAAAAAACAAAAATAAGGGGAAAGAACCTTAGAAAGGAAAAAAAAACCACTGTAGCATTTTCAACCAAAACGACGCGGTTTTAGTTGAAAAACGCGTGAATAGTATTTAGGATTCTCACTTTTTATATACCAGATATATCTAAAAGCAATTTGACGAATTTAAAAATCCAAATGGAGTTTATAATAAAAAGAAAAATTGTTAATCATACAATCACCGCATATATAATAATACATTAAAACTGCCATATGTTGGTCATGTGACAATTGATCTCTTCTCCTTAGAACACAAACACACTTGTGATGATACATCGTTTTTGGCATGAATATCAATATTGCTCTAGATTTATATATTGTGATATATCTAATATGAAGTTAGCATAGAAATACCGAAGCAGTGATAAAAGAAATTATTCTTAATTGGCTCGAACACTTATCATAATAACAATTTGATGGGTCGTACTAACTCATCAGTCACTCCGACCCCCTGATGATCTAAATTACATAATACTAATCCTTAATGTGACATGCAAGAAAAAAGAAAGAACAAAACACCTTAATTCTCTCTTCAGAAAACACCTTAATATATATATTATTAGCCAATCTATTTGAAGTAGGATATCATGAGGACGTGATCCCGAAGTATATTTCCATCAACGGATCATTTCTGAGCATTTCATTCTCTCGGAGTTGATTCGTTCAAGCTTGAAGCGCTCTTGGACGGAAGATATGTAAGTCGCGGCCTTGGTGTCGACGCCCTCATCGACGGAGATGCCATAGAGGTTGTCGAATTGCACAGGCAAATCGCGGGTGTTGTCGGGCAAAACGAAGGAGACTTTGGGCTTAACGTAGTCTTGGTGAACCACAAACCCTACCGAAGCCGGCACTGAAGGAGCTGAGGACTGGCTAATTGGCTTCATGGCCTTGCTGCTCGTGTACTGCACATGACTAGTACCACTCGTTGAGGAAGGCTTAGCCGCCCGGTAGAATGGGATCAACTTTCCCTTCATGAACCCTCTTCTCTTACGGTTTGATTCCATATAGAGGTTGAATAATGCTGAATCTATATAAATATATATGTATATATAATATTATTATCACAGAAGATGATGAGAAGAAGAAAGCTTGTTGCTAATTTACTCACTCTTACTAGAGCTTGTTTATACTACCAAATGTGTAAGTAGTTTGAGTACAATTGAGGGGTTTATATACACAAGTCGTAAAGGTTAAATTTTGTTAAATTTATGCTAATTAAATGGTATCATATTGACGATAGACATCAAGTTTTCTATGTGGATGAGTTGTGGTCCCACAGCTAAATATCTCTTTTTTTTTTTTATATATAGTTTGGGATATTAGGAAACACTGTAGCTAGCTATGACTATTTGTACAATATGTAGGGTAGACAATATATATTCGCATCACTGATTAATTTAGTAAGACGTGCGCTTTCCGAGATATGGAGAACATATACTTGCCAAACCCATTACTAATTACTGATAAATTATATAAAGTACTTCTTTAAAAATTCTTAATAATGAATCACGTTGGAGCTTTTTATTTACTCAGTTTATATTTTTCTTTCACATATGTTTGCGTGTGTGTATATACATGTATGTACTCGTATAGATATTATTCATCCACATCCGGATGTATGTAATTAATTAGCTTGCAGATTGTGCAGATATCGGAAAGCAAATTTTTATGGATTTTATAGATATTTATTTAGGACCAATAATGTTTCATTACAAGGTATAGCATATTCCTTATAATATTAATTGTAACTGTAGACAAAAGATTAATATTTAGCCTGATCTATAAAACTTGAGAAAAATATCTCTCTACTGTGTAGGTCAGAATAAAACTATAGCTAGCTAGTAGATAAACAATCTATTTTTTTCAGCTTATTTTTCTAGATTGAGCATATATTTTTGTGACTTTTGAATAAAACAGAGAACATGATAGGGATATATTATCTGGCAAGACACACGAAGACGCGATGATATATGAGGAGAAGCAAATTAACTTGAAACACTTGTCACTTACAAAGTTGTACTTGTAACTTGATCAACATATGATATAAGTAGGAAAATTTTCTGTTAACCGAAATGACACTAACATATACAACATGTATGATACGGCATATGTGCTGCGAATGAACTAATAACTCACGCATGCATACACACACCCCGTAGATTTACGTACATCATGATATCATGTATATATATATATATACACATACATACATACATAATACAAATACAAAAATAATAGTAAAAAAATCTAAGTTATATGGACCAAATCTGGCATACATGCATTCAATATATAATTTATTTTAAAATAATATAGCTAGCACGCTTGCATGTATGTATGTATCGTTACTTTAGACATGATCCTAAACCTTGCTAGATAATTTAATTATTATTAACAAAAAGTACATATGGTGCTCGTGAGTAATTAATTAGTAGCAGTAATGATTTTTAATATAGAAAAAGGAAATTAAAGATAATTGGAATGGATAGGAATGGTGTCTTTTTCTACACCTTCCGCTCTCATCTCATAGGAGCACTTTTGTTGAATGCGAGATATAGTACTATAGGATCATGATCAACAATAACATTACAAACTCCGTACGTAACTGATAAAATATCGATCCAACCACTCATTACATGCAATATTCCCTATATAGCGTCACGGGCTCAGCTAGTCGTACGTATGTGACCCGAGAAGAAGCACCAACAACAGGGCAGGGTCAATAAATACAAAAAAGGCATATATATATGCGAGAAGAAACACCACTCATTGCATTCTAATACTTTTTCCTTTGATCTTTTATCTCATATATATATATATATGTGTGTGTGTGTGTGTGTGTATGGACACGGAATTAATAGATATAGCAAAAAACAAAGTTTATATGTACTTAAATTATAACATACGCGATTAATTGATCATGAGCTGAAACTAGTAACTTTTTTTTTTTTTTTTTGGAAATGGAGAGAGCTACGGTGAAGGATACTACAGTAATATGCAAGTTGGCATGGTTTGGTTTTGTCAGACATGCACTAGACAAGCGAAATGGTTCCCTCAAATTTTCAACAAAATCTATGGATAAGATATTCTACCTGATTGGCCAAGTCGATCGCTCCAACAATATTTAAAAGTGGATGCTTCATTGTGGTTGATTCTTACTGTATATATGGTACTGTTAGCTACCTGCTGTTTATTTTCCAAGTCTTCGGTCCCATTTGAGTTTTGTGCGAATTTTGCAGCAAAATTTTACACGAATATTATAGCTATATATACTTATATATAATATTATATATATATATATATATATACGCACATGTTTTGTAGCTAAGGTTGTCGGAACATATCAGTCATCATTTTGGTGTAGTTTGAGCACTTTAGAGATATGTATATATATATATGAATTACCATTATCAAGCATCCCCTTTGATCGAGCCAACAGATCACTCAAAAGACGTTGTACTTGTACCTATCATTGAATGTATATCCAATTCATCGTGGTCCTTTCCAAGCAAATTTATTTGTTCCATTTGCCAACAAAAAACACACACACACATTCTTAATTTGTTCCCGTCCACAGAGCTTCAATCAAGTAGACGTTATCAATACTACCAAGAGAACTGCTACTTTGAGTAAATATTCCTTTTCTCCTTAATATAAATTTGTCGCTAGCGCATATATATATATATATATATATATATACCAAATATAAAAGGATAGATATTGTGACATGACTCGTGGCTATCTATCTACCCTATCTATAACCAAGCGTTAATATTGAAAATTTGTGCTTAAATATTATCTCTACTTTTAAAATACGACAATGCATATATGATCCCATAGAATAGATATATATTAATATCTAATCCAAAGTTTTGGAAATCTATACATCATGTGGCTTTAAGTCCCTTTTTGTGATATTTTCGGCCTTTTTTTTTTCTTTACGACCATGAATACTGTCATGTATATGTATGTCCTTGAATTCTACTGTTTCTTTTTCTTTTTCCTTTTTTGTTTGCTTTTGGCGTGTAAAGGGAAGGGGAATATTTCTATGGACCAAAAGCTTGGTGCACTTTTCTTTGTGCCCACAATTTCAGGGTTTGGACTTTGGGCCTTAAAAGCGGGTCTCTTATTCGGGAGCCTCTGCTAATTACACTAACCTCCTTACTTAAGACTTGAATTTCTAATTCCTCACTTATGTTTTACCTTCATTCTATGATCTATGAATTCATAGAGGCCCTAAAAGTTAAATATTTATAACATGAAATGAAAAAAAAATCATTTAATGAAAAAAAACCTTGTTATTAATACAGAAAATCATGGTAAAAAATATGTTTGCAGGTCTTAATCGTTTAGGAATTTCATTGGGACCCCACTAATCTTACCACATGCATTTTAGGATCTCATCTTCTTTGAAATTCTTTTATGTATTGGCGCTTTCGTGGAAAAAGAAGAGACTGCAACTTGTACGATCTCTTTATCTCTCTCTACCTTTCTTGCTAAGAGATAATCCGCCCTTTCGATTGGATATTCGGTTACCAGAAGCCGATGAAAGTTTGGTTACTGATGATCGATTTCTTTTAATAGAGCTAATTATCATTTAGGTTAAGAATATTTCATGTTGGAAACAATGACTTTACAAATTGGGCCAAGTTTTTTTTTTGAGTTTAGATTTGACAAACCATCATTGAAATGGGCTTGGTTTAACTTAATATCCGACTTACTTATACTACGATGGAAAGAATATCCATTGAGTCTAAATTTTTATTCATTACTTTTTATTAATATTCTTTTAATTAAATAACTATATTAGTCAAGAGGGTATTAATTAAGACTACTAAGGAGTAAAAATCAAGATCCATATGCATTCTCAAAGGGTATAAGCTCAGTAATTTCTCTCCATGTTATAAGAACCTTTCAGTCAAATATCTATATTAGGCCGTATACTACTTTTAAAGTTTAATTTTTCATCCGTATTGTTTTTATGTGAACATTCGACTTAAATTTTTTTAGAAAAGTGACACATCAACATTTCAATTTTTTTAGAAGTGCTATTATTCTAATTTAAACTCAGATAAATTCAGTATTTACTGTCTCTTTGAATCAAAGATGGTGATCTTGTGGCCAATGCGCCCAATATATATCCAGTCCTCCATTTAATTGTGTAGAAGGGTAATAAGATTCATAACTAACCACAACACAAAAAAGCATGTGTCTTTCACGACATTCAAATTATTCATGTCGTAAAAATGATACGAGGACATTTCTTATAAAGCTGTCGTAGAGACAACAATTAAGAACACTTGTAAGAAAATGGTTAAATAGTGTTTTGTCGTAGTGTTAATGGTGATCAGCAACCTTTGTTTTATTTTTGTTTTTTGCTATATCATATTTTTTAGTGTCAATAATATTGATACGAGGACATTTTTTACAGTCATGCCCAGAAAAATATAATGATCATGTCTACAAAAGTTCATAGTTTTTTGACGTCATTTTTATTTTATTTTATTTTTCAAAGATGAAAAATAAAGAAAATCATAAAAAATAGAATATTCATAAAAAAATGATGCTGCTTATTGCATTAATTCTTAAAAATTATATATTAATTGTAGAATGCAAAACTTAAATAAAAATACAAATTTTTGACCCATCCCAGCCCCTGAGCCGGCCCCTGGGCGCCCTACTATGTAAAGGGAAGGGGAATATTTCTATGGACCAAAAGATTGGTGCACTTTTCTTTGTGCCCACAATTTCAGGGTTTGGACTTTGGGCCTTAAAAGTGGGTCTCTTATTCGGGAGCCTCTGCTAATTACACTAACCTCCTTACTTAAGACTTGAATTTCTAATTCCTCACTTATGTTTTACCTTCATTCTATGATCTATGAATTCATAGAGGCCCTAAAAGTTAAATATATATAACATGAAATGAAAAAAAAAAATCATTTAATGAAAAAAAAACCTTGTTATTAATACAGAAAATCATGGTAAAAAATATGTTTGCGGGTCTTAATCGTTTAGGAATTTCATTGGACCCCCACTAATCTTACCACATGCATTTTAGGATCTCATCTTCTTTGAAATTCTTTTATGTATTGGCGCTTTCGTGGAAAAAGAAGAGACTGCAACTTGTACGATCTCTTTATCTCTCTCAACCTTTCTTGCTAAGAGATAATCCACCCTTTCGATTGGATATTCGGTTACCAGAAGCCGATGAAAGTTTGGTTACTGATGATCCATTTCTTTTAGGGAGAAAGAGGGAAATATGCCAAGACTTGAGATGAATTAAAATTAATAAGTCAATAGTTTACATAAGTTAATAAATAGGCTAAATTACTATTTTCGTCCATAACTTGACAAGTTATTGTCCATAAATCATGGTTTTTATTCATAACTTGTTTGGTTATGAACCATAACTTGACAAATTTGTCTATAACTTATCTGGTTATGAACCATAACTTGACAAGTTATGGCCTATTAATTTCTATAACTAAAAGTTGGCTTATATACTTCCTTAAACTTTTCATATTGGCATATTTTTTACTATTTCTGTTTCTTTTAATAGAGCAAATTATCATTTAGGTTAAGAATATTTCATGTTGGAAACAATGACTTTACAAATTGGGCCAAGTTTTTTTTTTGAGTTTAGATTTGACAAACCATCATTGAAATGGGTTTGGCTTAACTTGATAATCGACTTATACTATGATGGAAAAAATACTTTGAGTCTAGATTTTTACTCATTACTTTTTATTAATATTCTTTTAATCAAAATAATTATATTAATCAAGAGGGTATTAATTAAGACTACTAAGGAGTAAAAATCAAGATCCATATGCATTCTTAAAGGGTATAAGCTCAGTAATTTCTCTCCATGTTATAAGGACCTTTTAGTCAAATATCTATATTAGGCCGTATACTACTTTTAAAGTTTAATTTTTCATCCGTACGTATTGTTTTTATGTGAACATTCGACTTAAATTTTTTAGAAAAGTGACACGTCAACATTTCAATTTTTTTAGAAGTGGTATTATTCTAATTTAAACTCAGATAAATTCAGTATTTACTGTGACTCTTTGAATCAAAGATGGTGATCTTGTGGCGAATGCGCCCAATATATATCCAGTCCTCCATTTAATTGTGTAGAAGGGTAATAAGATTCATAACTAACCACAACACAAAAAAGCATGTGTCTTTCACGACATTCAAATTATTCATGTCGTAAAAATGATACGAGGACATTTCTTATAAAGCTGTCGTAGAAACGACAATTAAGAACACTTGTAAGAAAATGGTTAAATAGTGTTTTGTCGTAGTGTTAATGGTGATCAGCAACCTTTGTTTTATTTTTGTTTTTTGCTATATCATATTTTTTAGTGTCAATAATATTGATACGTAAAATACCTGGATATTCTCATACACAACAATCTCTGCAGAAAAAAAAAAAAAAAGATCAGAAAATGGAGTGGGATATATGGAACAGGTAAAGGTCTTAATTTGCACATATTCATGGGACTGGCTAATTAATTAAGTCCTGACGTATGCCCTAATTAAGATATCAAACTAGAGGTTGCGAAGTGATGATGTAACGATGACAAATATTAATTAAGTGTGATTAATTACGTGATCAATAATTCTTGAAAAACATATCAACCGCTGCAATCTATCTGAGGGGCCTTAAGATGCTTTATTAGACATCTTTCCAACAAAATATTAGGTATAAAAGATGAGAAATCACGTTCTCTATAATATATATCAATCACTTTATGAGAAAGATTTTAATTTTCTGCATAGTTTCCGCTCCTTAATTTATTCGCTACACAAATAAAAACGTTATAAATAGAGATTTTCTATGGCTCAATAGTTGTCCAATATCACATAAATATATCCTACACGTTAACATTATATATATATATATATGATCTTCATTTTCAGTCATCTTCTTTTCTCATCAATACCTAATTATCATCATGAGATGATCTCATCAGCCTGGTCTCGTCAATGCTGCCCTCCCTGGTTGTTAATTCTTTCTATACTCTGATCTATTTTGGTTTCTTAATTAGTTTGTTCTTTGCTAACTGGCATTCATATAGAAACATGCATATATATATATATATATATACGTAATTTATACTGCCTATTGTTGTTGGCGTTGGCATGGCTCAATCAGACCAAAGTTTCTCAATGGAATATATATGGGTCCTTTCATCTGATTGAGCCGTGCCAATATCACGTTATACTGGACAATAATCTAAGAGAACAGGGAAAAAAAAAAAAAAAAAACATTCATATATATACAGAAAATTGAATTAGGGTTTCTTTTTTGTTTGCCCTCTAAATAAAGAAACAAAAGAAATTTTGTTTTCGTTTCTTTAAAGGGAAAAAAAATGAGAAGGAAGATTTCTGATTGATCGAATTAAAATTACTTCCAAATGCGCATGGTTCCAATTTTATATTCAGCTTATTGCTGATATTGAGATATTCTAATTTTCAACTGTACGGTTGATGTTTGTGGCGACTAGTACGTATAATTACGATTGTCGTAGACTCTGACTAAAAAATCAACATATATCAGGTTAATTTTATTTTTTCAATTGCGTTATTTGACATATAATTAGAACTGCATGTTTATAATTGTTTTCCTCTCGTATGTTCAACACACATAAAGGAATCGAGTAATGTTATGAGATTTTTTTAAGTGGACGTTTGGTTCATAGATTTAGAATCATGATCTATTTTTGATTTATGTGTGTTTTTGTAAGAGAAAATATTGTAGCGAATCACGAACCATGATTCGAATCATGGCACGAATTCATCAACCAAACGCACAATGATTTAAATATAATTAAGTATTTTAAGCCTCTTAATTGGCAATAGCATGAGAGAGTAACTACCAACCAACATATTGATTTGGCAATAGCATATGCATGGAGATTTCTCTAATCTCTGGTAATTAAATTAAAATAAAATAATAATTAAAGTTAGAGTGCATGTTACATTCTACTTTTTCCAGCACCTCTATAAGTTATTATATTTCCACTTCAACCACCAGTAGTTATTTCAACATAAAAAAATGTTCATTTGTTGTAAATGTCAATTCTAAAATCTTATTCAATACCCACTTCCATATATAGCCTCCATTACATGCTCTGTGTAATCATATACAGGTCACCCATCACCAAATATGGAAGCAATTTTGAAAGCACTTTTGCACCACTTTTTTGGAGTTGTTGTTTGCCAAATTATCCTGTCGCATTGACATGATTGCCATTACCATATTTAAAAACGTTATCTATCACTTAAAAAGCAACTAATTGATTAATAAGTATATATCAAAATTAATAAATTAAAAAAAAAAGAAATTGCCTAGTGGTAGCTAGGTTGCTACTCCATTATATATAGTTAAATAGTTTACTCGTTAATAAAATAAGATCTGAAAAGGAGAGCACTATATTGACTGGGATTCTTAAGGGCCTAATGACCTATCTTAACACTATGGGTCTAAGGATGAAAAGTGGAGAGAAGAAAGAAACGAGAGGGATCTCAGAGTGGATGTTGAGAAAGAAAATTATTTGTTAGAGAAATGTTTCGGAGGAAATAAGCATAAGAGAGATAAAATTCTTGTGAAATTCACACTTTTTAATCTCTATAAAACTAGACAAAAAAAAAAATAAATAAAAAATCTGACAAAAATGAAAACTAATAAAATTAATCCACTTATATTACTAAAATCTTAAGAAAACAGTAAATAAATAAAATAATAAAATAACAATTTCATAAGAAATATCAATTTTTTAACTTCGTTTCCTCCTTGTCTTGCCAGATAACATAGACAAAAAACAAAACAAAAAAATATTCTGTACGTCTCTTTTTCCCCTTATCTCTCCCTCTTATTTTTCCCCCTTTCTCCTTCCCAAGCAATAAGCATTGATTCTAAAAAGTGTGTGGGCAATCTTACTAATCACATTGAGATCTAACAAAAGTTTTAAAATTATTTACAAATAATAAAAAAATCAAATTATTTTAATAATTACTATGAATAATGTTTCAAAAAGATTCCAATTTTTATACTTAAAATTTCACTCTTGTAAATATTTAATGCAGTATAATTTTTACTTTTTTCTAAATATTTATAAGAGTAAAATTTAAATACATCAAAATTTGTTGAATATTTTGGAAATAAGATAATTATGTAGTAATAATAATAATAACGGTCATATTTTAAATATATTACATAATTTATTTAAAAAAAAGAGACAAATATCCTTTTAAAATATATAGATTAGGAGACTTCTACCTCTTACTCTTAATTAATAATATTTTTATTTAAATAACTATACTAATAAAAGAGTGTTAATTAAGAATGAGAAATAAAAATTGAGACGTGTGCCATTTTTTAAGATAAATTCTGTAATTTTCTATTTATATACGCTATATTATTATATTTATACTTGAAAAAAAGTGCGGGTGAGACTATTTGGGTCAAATTTACATAATGGGCTGAAAATAAGGTCCAGATTAGCCCAAAGAAGTAGGGGCGGGGTCCAATTCATTTTGTGGAAACGACAAAGCACAGTCGTCGTTTGCCTAAAGTCTGAAACCCAGGAAAACGAAAAACCCTTGAAATTGGGATTTTGGATTCTTAGTCCACTGTTCATAGCTTCTGAGACTCTCTCCTTGCAACGTTTCTAACATCAGAATCGAAAATCACGAGAGTTTAGGTTTTCAATGGCTTTGACGAACTTCATCCTCACAGTCGCCGGCGTCAGCGCCGTCGTACTTCTTCTGAGATCCGACGTGAAGCAGTCGGCCGCCATCTTCCGTCGAAATGTTAAGCACATCAGAAATTGGCTCGAAGAAGAATCCAGCTCCGCCACCAAGTAAGACAAATTCTCTCTCTTCTTATATATATATACGCACGTTTTTGCGACTTTTCTTGCAAATGATTAAAGCTTAATTTCACTATTTATGTATCTAAATCAGTCACTCAATAGGCAATTCGGAGACGAGATTCGTTCCCGTTGAATGATTTCAACAATTTGATATGCTTGGCTTTCAAAGTTTCTTACTTGCGTATTGGATCATACTCTTTACTTTCGATCATACATGTGCCTGAGAATTCAACTTTAATACTAGGTTTAATTTGACTTTTTCAAGGCAAAAATTTCTCCTTTTGTTTAGATGATAAGTTCTGACTTTCAGTTGTATATTGGGGCTATGGTAATTGGTATCACTCTTCATTGTTGTTATTGTTGTTATTATTTTGGTTAATAATACTGGAATTATCAAGCTCTCATAGTGCTGTGGATGAGCAAATTTCACCCGCGTCTTGGATTATATATGTAATGTCGAACCAGTGGATAGGAGCTTGTAAAATTATCTAGTGATGATTATTTGGAATATGTATAAGATATGAATTGTTTAAATAGTCATTTTTGCTATGAGTCTGATGAATTTAGAGAAAACTGCTTATCATTTGATACTTGGAAAAAATATTGATATGGAGAATCCTTGATATGTAATTTGGCCCAACTCATGGTACATCTTTGATAATCAACTCGTGGCTTGTGACTGGTCTCTCTAGTTGAATTTTTATTCCTTTTTTTTTCCTCAGTAAATTTTTCCTTAAATCATTCTTTCAAGCATTAGTTTCAGTTACTTGGTTCTGTGTCTTTGCTATGATTTTTGTGGTACAGCAAGCTTGATTTTATAATCACAATGATTAGGTGGAGTTTAGGTTCTTGCCCGCAAATCTAGATATGCCTATTGGACCATGGTAACAATGCCACTTATAATCTTTCACGAGTGTGAATTCTGAGCTATATGATTCTGATTTTATGTAAATGACCTTGAAAAGTTGATCTGTGTTGATACTTTTTGATGATTTTTTGTGCTTTTTGACATGTACCCGTGTTGTTACTTAATCAGTTTACTCCTGCATCTTCATTCCGAAATGCTTTTTAGGTTATAGTTCTTCAATTTTAAGTCTTAACTGCAATGGATCTACGTACAGGGCAGCGGAGAAGAGAACACCTGAGAAACTGGAATCAAAGGTTCCAAAAGAAGATATTCCCAAGGAAGACAAGCACTAGTGTCCATGTCGTCGCGGTGCATGATTAGTCATTCCTTTCAATTTTGTTTCTGTTTTTCTTTGTTTTTCTTTTAATCTTATTTTATGTTGGTGGGGGTTCACAGAGTTGGATTTTTAATACAGATATGTAGTTATCAAGGAAGGCTATATTATATTTGGTAGACAAGCTTATCTTTAAATTTTGATACTTTGGCATATCTCTCATAATTGTAGTGATTGTGAACAAATTCATATCCTTTTTGGCCACAATTGTAATACTTTTGATGAATATCGATTCATCACTATTGGATTCAAAGGCAACCTTTTGGCGTATGACCGAACCTCGAATTGTCTTTAAGCATTGAATCCATTTTTAGGTGATTGCTGACAAGGATTCTCATCAAGTAGACTGGTTATTCTGGGGCGTCTACGTGGCATGAGCTCAGCTCTGTGGCAAATATCCGTTACTTTATTTTCTTCTTTTGGTTTATATTTTGCTCTAAATTTAGTCAAATAAGGTATGATTGCTTGGGTCTCTTTTTCAAGATTAAAGTGAAACTCTTTACCCTGCAACTCTAGTGGGTTAGAAACACGTTACCCTTTTAAAGCAGTAAATTTTATCGCCAAGGAAAGCAAAAGATGCTGGGTTTAATGTAATTGCCCGTTTGACTTGGTATCTCAATCTTGGGTGCTTCCTAGTGGAAGCATGAACAACGGTTATTGAACAGCTTGTTAGTCTTGGTCTCTGGAAATTTGTCCAAGAAGAACATGTTTGGGTTCTTGAATGGAAAACATGATAAAAAAGAAAGAAAGAAAGAAAACTATCAAAACTAGAAACTGTAAGGGAAGGTAATAGATTTCTCTCAATCTCTATTGTTAGTTGTTACGTACTTCAGGATTTCTTTTGAGCAATTCTTTATACTTTCCTTGTTTGACTAAAACTAAATCCGTTGTTAACCACACAAAGTACTAGTAGTACAATAAACTATACACCTTATAATCACGCTATGGAAATTAAAACGAAAGCAACACAAAACAACACAGGGTTTGTTTCTTTCACGAGCAAGAAAGTTGTCACAAAAGTTCCGACATACGACAACAATAGCAACACAAACATCCATCTCACAAGCTTAAAAAGTCTTATTGGTAGCTTTCTCTAGTTGACTAACACTCCTCAGATAATTTATTCAAATACCAGAGAAACCAAAACATAAGCTCAGGAGCCAACTACTCCAACGAAATCGGAAGCATTTGGAGAGCCCCGTGTTCCAACAAGCCGTCGGGTCCCAACCGAAGCAGCATGTTGGCCTGCTTGTTGGCCGCAGCATCATAGATTGGGAGAGGGGGATCCACAGGCCTGTTCTTTGCATTCTTAGTGTTGTCAAGAAGCTGAAAGGAACAGCTCTCATGGGGCTGCGCCAAATGGTTGTAATTGTTGTTGCTTGAGGAGATCAAGTGCGTTGGATGTGTTGACAGAAGATAGAGAGCACGGCCACCTGAATCGATAGGCAGAGATAACTCTTCATCAGATACCATGATCATGTGCTTGTGCTTGTGCTTGTGCTTGGGATTGTAATTGTCCCTTTTTTCCCTTCCCTTTCCTGGTGGAGCCAAAGGGTGGCGGAGGTACTCATCTGGGTTGGTTTGGTTCCCTCCTAATTTGGTGTCGTTTGTTTTCTGCAAGAAAAACAGACTTTTATCTCCCCCATTGAAGGGTGTTGGAGGATTTTGCTGATAATTAATTATTTGGAACCGTCTGTGGGGGGTGTGAGTCCATGATTCTGAGCCAGTTTTGGTCTCCATAGGCCACATGCCTTTCACAGTAGCTGTTGCATATATCTGAGGATTGCCAAAATGCAAGATTCTTGGACCTGAAACATTCCAAACTCCATGACTCATATTTGTGTAGAAGAACACAGGGATTGGAATAGAAGTTATTAGGGGAGTTTTAACTAGTGACTAGCGGCTTTTTCTTCTTCTTCCTTTTTATTTTATTTCTTATTTCTACCAATAAATTTCTTTGTCTAACTTTACCTTAAGGACAAAGCCAATAGAAGTAACAAGACAATTGCTTTGGACAGTTTGAATCACCATATATAAAGGTCTCATGGAAAATATAGGCCTATTAAAAGGTGATAATAACAAATGAGTATCATGGATATTTTCTGAACACTAACTGCTGACCAACACAGAACAGCAGCAAACAGAAAAATTGTCTCTCTCAAAAAAACAAAGGAAAAATGTTCAAACCTTTGTAGCCCGAGAGAAAGCTCTTCGAACTCCAGTAAAGAGGTTCTGACTGGGATTTTCTTCGGCGCCGATTGTGTCCATCAAGGCGTTTTCTGCAGCTCCTCTTCACCTCATCAAACTCCCCAAGAGAGTGGAATCTACAAGATTAAAAACCATAGCATCACATCCAAGAATAAGAAAATTCAGGAAGAAAAAGAAAAACAGCTGCACTAGGATTAGTCTACAATTAAACTTTCTAATGCTCAATCATTACAACCATATCATCATTTTGTTTCCAAAAAAAAAATCAACCAAACAGAAATAAAGATTAATGAAAGCGTGCTCAATCACGTTACCTACTGCACTGCTGGCAGAATCTTTTCTCTTCACCCTTGACAGTAACAATTGGGGTCTTGGAGTGTTTCTCGCAGACTCTGTGGCGTCTGTGATAGTCCCTACAACTACTGAGATCTGCCTTGCAACCATCAACCAAACATGACATCTTTTGAGTCCCACTTCGCCTCTTTGATGCCATCAAATCCGACCCTCGCACGACGTCGTTTTGTTTCTCCGGTGACCCTGCAGCGTCTGCTAAGTATTGGTCAGCCATATTGGTGGTACTAGTTTTAAGCCTCAAAGCCTCTGGAGATTGATCAGCTGGTGCTGTGTTTATCTTCTGTCTAGTGGAATTGATGAATTCAAGTACTGGATCATCATGATGATGATTATCATCACAATCAAGTTCAAGGCGTTCATCCTCTCTTGGGTCAAAATCAGTTGATTCCCAACCAAATTCCTTCAAGTCCCACTCCATTATAGCACCATCTATGATCTCTTCAATCTGTTCTCTTCCTCTCCTATACATATATACATGTATATATATAAAAGGAAAGTAAGCACAAGAGAAGGGGGAAAAATAGTGATAGAAAAACCAAGAAAGCAATTAGCAGCAAAGAAAATTTCTTTCTTTGAATTGGGTTCTTAAACAAATTAATTAAAAGAACAGTTGAGGATATACCAATCCAGTAAACACAAAAATCCAGAAATATTTAGGTAGCAAAAAAAAAAAAAAAAGCCCAGTTGAGAAAAACATCTAAGATTGAGAAGAGCATAGTCTAAGAAGTGGTTCTGAGAGAAGAGACATACATGAACATTGAGGCAGTAATACTTTTCGTATTTTGTTCATTTAGTTACTACTAGCGAGTCAGATAGCTAGCTAGGCTATATATAAGGAAACAAGAGACGCATAGAAATATTGGGCGCATTTAGAATTTATTTTAAAATAATTTTATTTTTTTTATAAAAATAAAAATGAAAATATTTTTAATTATTTTTAAAAATATTAATTTTATTAAGAAATTATTTTCAGTGTAAAAAAATTCATTAGTGTCTCTTTATCTCTTTTTCTATTTGAAAGATGAGAAAACAAAAATAAAAAATGAAAAACGATTAAAAATTATTTTTTATTTCTCTCTTATTTTACATTAAATAAAAAAATTATTTTTATTTTTATTTTTTATTTTTATTTCGTCAAACGTCGTTTTGAAAATGTTTTTATTTTTTATTTTTCAAAAACCGTAAAAAATAAAACAGAATTAATTTCAAGTACAGTTTATATAATATTCCAAGAAAATGGTTTAAAAAAGAAGCAAAAAAATATCCTTGTTTCCTCCAATGAGAAGGAAGGTCAAAAGGACCATTAAGCGAAGGAGATCACGCTGGAACAATCCAGATAAAAATTAAAAAAAAAAAAAGAAACAACAATAATTTTAAACAAGACTTTTGAAAGCTAAGGGAATAAAAATTTACTAGAAATGGCAGAAAATAGCAACCAGCTTCGAGGACCACCTGAGACATTTATGGACCACGGTGTGGGATTTGTTTAAGTGGCCTTACTTGATCTGTTTGGAGCTTTTCTGTTTGTCCCTTTCTTTACTTTACAGGTCCGCCATTTTTTTTAATATATTTATAGTGAACAACTGGGAGTGGAAAATAAAATAATATAAAATAAGAGAATTTATCTGATAGGATAATATTATTAGTAGTATCAGTCTTTAATTATTAGTATCAGTCTTTAATTATTAAATTATATTAAAATCATATTAAATAAAAAAATACGGAATAAATAATTTAAGATATAAATTTATCAGTTAAAAATAAAGAATTTTTAATAATTTTTTTTAAAAAAAATTTATTAAAAAAGTTCCCAAAAAATAATAATAAAGAGGAGAAAAAGGGGTTAGAGAGAGAGAGAAAAAAGAATGGTAAAGAAAGAGACAGGTATATTGTTACTTTTTCTGCGATTCCATAATCCATAGATGAGGTTTGTGGAATGTCATTCAACAGATTGTTGATGACGCGCCTAGATTTTACCGTTTGTGGCCGGTTATTTGCAATGGGGAAATTGTTTAGCCTTTTTTTTTAGCGAAAAATTCAAAAAAAAAATAATAATTTGAGTTATAATTTTATTTGAGTTTATATTTTTTTAAGTTTAAATTTAAGTTTAAATTCGAATTTAAATTTGAGTTTAAACTCGAGTTTAAGTTTTCTCTTCGACTTGAGTTCAGAAACTCAAACTCAAATTAATTAACAATATTTTTTCTATTCTTAAAAATGCTATAATTTTTTCGTTTTAATTCTGATTGAGATAATTTTTTTTCTATACGTTGACAACGAAAAGATGAATAAAACCCGACCCATATACCCTATTAAAATTTTTCATCAGCATTAAGTTTTTATTAAAATACTATCTATATACAAATTTAAGTTTTGACTCACTCAAACACAAACTAAAAAAATTCTTATCTCAAACTATAACTCAAATGTACATAACCAAACACAAACTCAAGTTAGTTTAAATTATAACTCAAATTCAACTAAAAAATTATACTCAAATTAAACTCAAAAAAACAAGTCTTAAAACTTTCACGAATTCGAGGAGAACTTTTGAGGAATATGGTATATTAATGGAGGATGGAATTGTCTTTTACTATGTTAGCTGTCATTTTACAGGTGCAAATTTGTAATTTTTGTGGGAAGGTGGAGGGATAATGATGTAAATTCAGTTATGAAATTAATAAAAAAAGATTGATCTGATCGTAACGCAGAAAGGGGCCAATGTAATGTTGAAACGTAGGAATGTAACCGGTAGTTATTGTAAGCCAGCGAATATTGCAAAATATGAGGACATCACATTTGTCATTTTTTTTTTGTCATAAAGTTTAATAGAGAAATTTCTTTGTAGATTGAATCTTAAATTTCCAATAATAATTTTCATTCACATAATGATTTATTTGCATACCATGTGAATTGATCTGATTAATTTTTTTGTTTAATATCAAGTAAAGATTTTCGTTTATCAAAATGATAGTTAATTGCATATATATATGAATGAAAGAAAATAACGTCGAAGTGGTAATATATAAAAGGAGTAGCGAACATGGAATTACCACAAAATAATTAACTCAAAAATGTACATTACTATATACCACTTCACCCATTCATAGGTGACAACTTAATCCTCGTTCTTTAAATTTTGAAGAAACTATCTATCAAATCTCGAAACATTTGCAATTATGCATTTTTTTTGTCCAAATCCATCAAATTATGAAAGGTTTATAACCCGTTTAATTCGTTAATTTAAATTTTTAATTCGAATTAAAATGTAAGTTTATGTGAAAATTTTTTATTATAATAAAAAAATTAAATATGATTGTTTCTGATAACATTTAATTGTAACAAAATTTAAATTTTAAACTCATATCGGTAAAATGAACTTAATTTCTAAGGTTTAGAAAAAAAAAAAACTGAGAACTTAAATTCATCCGATCACAAAAAATAATAATAATAATAAAGGTCTCCGTAAATTAATTCACCAGATCAACAAGAGGAGTGCAGTGGAAGCAAAAAGTGAAGAATGCACAATCTATTGTGGAGGAAGACTTGTGCGAAAATTAGTTATAATATAAAATGGCCCTAATTATCAACATGCGTCATGGAATCATCACAAAAATTGTAAATCCGATGCAATACATATGAACATGAGATATGCAGTGGTCATCATAATGATCAAATCAATACCTGAAACTGGAATTCAATTTAAGAGGGAAGGGAGAAACAAAAACATTATTAAGATCAGAACACCCAAACATTTTCCAAAACAAAAAAAACAAAAAAAAAGCCAGTCAGAACACCCAAACGATCGCCTCCGATCGGCCCACACACGCCTCCCTGCTGCCACCCATGCGCCACCACCGGTAACTACGCGTCGACGTCCTATGACGACACCGCTCGTACCATTCCGACTCACCAACCTCCGATCTACAAAATTCCGCCACTCACGCGTCGGAAGTCCACTAGAAACGTGTCAATCGCTGCCTGAAGGGCCGCATCCTCCTCCTCGTGAATCCTATCTTTGCCGCGCGTTGTTCGACGCCGTCGGTGTATATCGGTTCAGAGGACCCCCACGATCAAAACCCATTAGCTCTGCCGCCTTCCCTTGCTGGAATCTCCCCGCAACAGAGGTCCCGTTTCCGCCACCGTCTTCCTTTCCAATGATTCTCACCTCATATCGTCGTCTTTCTCTTCGTTCCATTCCTAGTACTCTTCTAATTATTAACTGTTGGCCGAACCGGTTGCCAGTAAAAGGACGAGGAAATGCCCCTGGATACCCTCACTAAATGCTGACCTTTAGACCTAAATTAAAAGATATAAAAATGCCAAATCATATAAAGCATCGGCTGATGCACTTTGGGTGGAATTGATTGGATTATAAATTGGTGGAACTGTAGCCGGGCCCTTGTTACTTTCAACTTTCTAGACAAATTAGCAAATATTTTAATCATTTTGATTGGAGAAAAGTACCAAGAAAAGGAGTATGGGAATCCGGTAGGTAGCCAGGCCAAGAATATATATATACGTGTGTATTTTTGTATTTTGTTTATCTATTATCTCTATTGTACTTTCACAATCTAGCCATGACAAATATCTAATTGATGTTTTTCCTTTTTTTTTCCCCAAAAACCATGAATTATAACCATAAAATCTTGTCTCAAAAGACTTGCATATATATATTGCGATGGTGTGATAACTGATCAATATTATAAGTTCTTTTTTTTTCTCTCTCTCTTTTTGAGATTAAAAAAAAGGGCAATGAAAGACACTATTTTTCATGCTTTTGGTACAAACCAGTCGTTGTTTCATGTTTGAATTCTTTAATAGGAAATATGTATGGTTGTGGATTGTCATAAGAAAAAAAAAAAATATATATATATATATATATATATATGAAGCTTATCTCACTCTTGCGTAGATACGTGTCGTCTATGGTTAATTAATTAATGGAGCTTATCCCACTCTTAGCGAATGTCTTAATAAACTAAAACTAAAAGTGGCCGATATTATATTATCTATGAAATTTGATATAACTTGATGGTAGGCTTAATTATCATGCAATGAAGCACCTTTTGGAGTTCCCTTTCGGGGTAAATTAATCTTGCTTGCCTCGTCTCCTTTGGTGTCAATAATTTATCTTTGCTTTTGTATTAGGTTTTTTCCGGATTCTTTTTGTACTGAGCCCCTCTTACAGGGACTGATTGTTTTTATTTTCTGTTCGTTTGATATTTTGAGAACATTTTTGTAACACTTTTATTTGATTTCTATTCTAACAAATTAAAGTGGGGGGCTTGACAAAAGATATGTGCTATAATAGATGCCAACCTAGTTGAGATGTTTTAGACTTTCTTAACGTTGGGTTGTCATTTCTCTCGGTTCATTAACGGGAAACTTCTGTATAAAATATTTATATATAAAAAATATAGGATATTCTCTGGTAGGATAAAAAAAACTAGTAGTTTTATCTTTTCAACCATTAAATCTGTACCTCAAATTGTCTATTCTGTATACTTTTTCCTCTATGTTGATCACCTCTCCCACTGCAAAGATGGAACTTTCTTTTCATCAGGTTTATCCTGATCCTGAAAGCGCCTCGAAGCAACACCAGATCTAAAGAGTATAGATCGTCGTGCCATCTTATTTACCGCGCACCAATGTCGCAGTGCTCTAGAGCTCGCTTTCAGTGTCAATGCTATTTCACTTTGGTGAGCAGTAAGCCACTCTTGATAACGTCCCTGTTTAGTCCGGTTCTCAAGCCGGTACTCCTGCAGAACGATCTTGCTAATTCCGCCAGCTCTGCTAAATGCAACGTGGTGGACCACAATCCCCACTTGGCAGCCACCTCCCAACGGGGGACCCCTACGGAAGCTCTTCTTTCTTTTTTTCAAGAAATGGGCTCTGAACTGGAGGAGGAAAGGGGAACCCCATTGATCTATGAAGAGGAAACGGAGATTGTTAACCATGTAATTAAAAATTTAAGAAGCCTCCCTCTTCGCTACTCCGAACTCTACACCTATTTAGTTATGTCTTGTACTCGCTCTATTTGCTTTTCTAGTGCTACTTTTCTTGTTTTTCCGATAAGTAAGTAGTAAGTAAGTGAAGTGGTGAATTGGCCATTGGAAAGGAGGAATAGGGCTCATTTCACGTATATCTATTTATTCTACTTTTATTCTTTTGTAAGGCAAACTTTTATGTCAAAGCAACGGTTCTCTCTAACCTTCTCTTACTCGCCTTACTTGAAACCTGTCCATTTTTCGTACCTTCGTATCTATAATCTAAAAACTTCTCACCTCTGTGCCTTCTGTACTTCTCGGCTCAAGCAAGAGCCACAGTGACTGGAACAACAGGAAAGCCACCTTAATCACTCAAGCAAGCAATTTGAATAGGGATTATGAACAGGCCCTTACCCGTTCGATTGATTGTTCTAAAGTCGAAGTCGTTTCGTTAAGTCGAATTGAAAGGTAGGTTTTGTCAGTGATGAAATGGAAAGGGGGATTTGTTCGGGCCCACTCTTGAACTTTTAGGCTAATTAAAAGCCGAAACAAAGGAAAAATATCGGCATGTAACTGAGAAAGATGGGATTCGGTCAACAAACAAACAAAGGAAACACTCCCTTCTTTCTTTTCTGTCGACAATGATGAAAACCAGATCGAAAAGTCCCTAAAATGGTGACAATAAACTACAATCATATAAAAATTTAATAGTTTCTACATATAAGTGCACATTTTATTTTTTATTATTATTTTGTAAGGAAAATAATTATACAAAATAATAGTAAAAATAGTCATAAAAACTAACATATTTAAAATCATGAAAGAAATATTGTAAGAATCACTTATGATTCTGAAAATGTATGGTGTGGTTTGGTTAATTACAGTTTTCAAGATTTTCAAATATCAAATCGAACAATGGCACGCATTAATTAGTACTAGTTGAACATCACGTATGGCACATGAGGAGTAATCTATGTGTTAAGTTTTAGTTATCGTGTTATTATAAAAGCATATAAAATTTAAATATAAAATCCCAAGAATGAACAAAAATGGAAGAAAGGTTAAAAAGGACTAAAATGAAGAAATAAATAAGTTATAGGGTAAAAGAGATCACAATGAAAAAAAATAAAGTTTTAGGATAAAAATAAAAAGGGGTCAAAAATAACCTAAATAAATAAATTCAAAGGTAAAAAAAACAAAAATGAAAAAATAATATAAAATAAAATTTTAGGACAAAAATTAAAAAGAAAGGGTCACAAAAAGACTAAAGTGAAAAAATAAATAAGTTTTAGGATAAAAGGGACCAAAATAGCAAAATAAAATTTTTGGTAAGAAAAATTGGTCAAAGAAGGACCAAAATAAAAAAATAAAAGTTTTAGGGCGAAAGGGTTCAAAATAAAAAATAAAATGAAATTTCAAGATAATAATAAAAAGGGTTAAAAAAAGGACTAAAGTCTAAAACGTAGAAATAAATAAATTCCAAGACAAAAGAAATCAAAATGAAAAAAAAATAAAGTTTTAGGACAAAAATAGAAAATGGGTCAAAAAGGATACAAATGAAAAATAAATAAGTGCAAAAGAAACCAAAACAAAAAACAAAATAAAAGAAAAAAAATTAAAAAAAAGACTAAAATAAATAAATAAATAAATTTTAGAGTAAAAAAAAAAGAAAGATGACTTGAAAAAAAAGAGAGAGAAAAGGCCCCCCACACCCATTGTGAGCTTCTTCTTTTTCCCCCCCAATTATGTATTTTGCTCACCCCTAACATCAACAAATAATCATTTGCCTGTTCATTTCACTAATTAGAGTTTAGAATTCAAATTTTAATACATTAAAAAGCTCACAGAAACAATCACATTTAATTTTTTTACTACAGTAGAAAGCTTTCACATAAAATCACATCTCAACTCAAATTAAAAACTCGAATCAGCGAACTAAACGAGTCCATTTTGAGTTAAAAAGACCCACCCCTAAAGATAACTCAAACCCTGCACGTACACGATCTCATGTGTTTACACCTGCAAAATGAATTCCAGTCTGGCTGCAAGAAGCTTTTAACCTAATCGTTTAGCTAGTGATCGTTTCCTTTTTTTTTTTTCCTTTTTTTTTTTTTTTTTTTTTTTTTTTTTTAAAAAAAAAAAAAAAAACTAGTAGTACTAGTGGGTTGGTGCTTGGTACAGTTTGCCAAAACTAGAGTTCTTTATTTTGTTTTTTTAGCTAGAATGTTATAACTAGATTAATATATAAATAGACTCACGCACCTCCAATCTACTTAAGCCCAACATTCTTCTAGCCCGGATGCTAGTGTAAGAAATATTGGCTCAAACGTGACTGGAAATATAATAACAACATTATATCAAAAGAAAAAAGAAAAAAAAAAAAAGAGGAATGCATCATTAATTATGGCATACACACTACACAGATACTGATAAAGATAATCATATATAATGAATGTTCTTTAATCTTAAGAATAATGTAAAATAAATTACGAACAATTAAGAAGATATGCATTCATGAACACAAATAAACTATTAATTTTCATTAAGTTCTTGTGAGTTGTGGCCAGTGGAGAGCACCCAATATTACACTGCCTTAATCAAAGAATATTACAAACATGGGAAATTCCTAATTAAGTCATTTAAAGTGGCATCATGTAATTAACAAAAATACATATTCCAAAAAGCCCAATTTTAGTTTATTATTTGTATACATAAGGCCAACACACACACACACACACACACACACACACACATATATATATATATATATATATACTGAATAATGTTAGAGACACCAATTATATTAATCATAACTTTTTTTACACCAACTTACATAGCATGTGAATTGTCCTTTATTGATAGTTGTTCAAAAGATTATCACGTTAATTAATAATAAGTGACTATATTTTCAGTGAAAAGATGACAACTCTGTACCATGTAAGTTGATACAAAATAGTTAAGATTAGAGTTGGGTGTCCCTAACACTACTATATATATATACATATATATTTATATAGATAGATAAGTAGATATATTTTACAGGAGCAGCTTACTGCTAGAACTACATAGAAATGACAATTAACTTGTAATTTAAAAGGGAGTGTAAATTTGCATCTGATTCAAGATGTGCTCAAAATTGTCAGTATGCTTCTCGATTGGGTGAGTGTGCATGCCTTCATAAGTAGTCACCACAACACCTTCATCCTTGGTTAGGCGTTGGACTTGCTTCTTTACATTGCACCCTTGATGTGTACACCTGTAGTAACTCCTGCAAATTCACATATCACGCACCACATTTTGGTTAGCATATATATATATATATATATATTTAATTATTTCACGACATACTGGTTTTATAAATAAAATTAAGTTTTATATGTAATTCGAAACCTCTTCATATATAAATCTCCCCCATGTACATATATACATAAATGATGCTCATGCAAGGATTGGCACATTGCCGGTAATTGAATCTCAGATCCGTTTGGTCTTTGAAAGTTTGCAGAAAGTTGTATTGATTGAATCGATAAAAACATGTAATTGATAATTAACCAGCAAATTACTCGGCATCATTGATAATTTTATCATTCAGGTATATATAGATCCTTTATTTATAATAATCTAATTCCATGTCTTCATATAATATCCGATAAAATTGAACCGATATGTCGGAAAAGAAAAGCATATGGTTTCCTGGATAAGAATGACATGCACAAATTGAGAAAAAGAAATATTATAATTCTTACTGATACTAATTTTTTCCGCCCTCTTAGAGATGCTCGATGAAATTTGAATGATAGAAAACAAAAAAAAAAGTGGCACGGTCCCATAAGGGTGACATGCACAAACCAAGATATCTAATTAATTACTTCTGAGTTGCGCAGGCATTTGTATTAAATATTGTGTCCCCTGTATAATAAGGAAATAATTTACTCCAAGAGCTGCAATTTTTCATCATTTACATTGTCATAGCATCTAGATTACTAGAAATGAGATTACTAGTTCTTAAATTTTATATCGTCTAGCAACTTCTTACGTTAAAACTAATATATGCTTAATTAACAAATTATAACAATGACCAGTTTGTAGGACTTTTGACATAGGTTCACATATTGACCTAAACGAACCCACGAGTTCTCAGACGCTCCTCGTGCGTAAAAAACCCTAATATACAATTGAAATTGCTATGTACTTTAACTAAAGTACTGGTCTTTGTTTAGATTACTTCACATGATATTATATATTGATCAAATTAACGTCCCTAGCTAGCGTGTATATATATATATATATATATATATAGAATATGCATGCAATAATATACGATACAATTCCCATATGAAAAGGAGAAAGAGGAAAATTTTTTAGGGGAGAGGACTGGAAACCCTAGATGACCATTTCAAGATGATCACGTACGATTATAATTCTTTTGAAGAGCGTACATGTACGTACACCCTGCAGATAAAAAGAAGTTTTACCATATATGCACACACACGATCATATATGTATTTGGATTCATGGAAAGATACGATATACATGCAAATGTATATATGTTTAACTTCCATATATTTACTTTTTCTTTTTCTTTTTGGCTAGCTTGAAATATATACCTACCATATGTATATCTGCTTCATGTATAGTATATCTCCAACTTAATTTCAGGAAAAAAGGCGCAGAAAGGAAATTGTCAGTTTTATTCATGTATAGGATTTATATATAATATCAGTTGTGTATTATCATGATGGGGTATAATTACTATCTAGTCATGTATATGCCTTGAATATTAGACCAATCAAATATGGTTTTTCTGATAGATCGAAGTGTGAAGACTACAGATGAAACGAGAAAAACTTGATCTCCAAAGAAATTAAAAAAGATCATGATCACTAACTAATTAATAAAGCTAATAATCATATATATTAGAAAAAAATATTATTATTAATATATGTTACCTGGGAAATTTGTTGTTTTTGACAGCCTTTTGGCCGTACTTCCTCCATCGATAGCCATCGTCAAGTATATCAACCTGACTTCTTGTTTGGAAAGCGTATTTGGGCTTTCTCATCTTCTTGTCTCCCTTCTTAATTTTGCCAGCCGATGATGACTTTCCCTCATGATCTCCATCATTATTAATACCATTTTGATCAGTAGAATTGATCATGTGATGATCACGATCTAATTCATTTGATCTGATCATGACATGGTTTTGATGATGATGAAGATGATGATGATCATCTGTCCTCAACCCGAAAAGCCCATTTGGCTGATCTTGATAACCATGATCAAAGCTACTAATCAACGCTTGAGAACTTGCCATTGAAGACGAGGAACAAGGAAAGAACATTTGATATTTCTCCATATAGGAAGCCAGTATATATATCTCCGGATATTATAGAAGAAGAAGAAGAAGAAGAAGAAAGAAGTTTTTTTTTTGCTGCTTGAAAAAGAAGAATTGAAGAATGTTCAGTATTAATAGAACTTGAAAATAAGAGAATTATGAAGGACGAGGCGGCTTGGTGGCAAAAGCTTTTAATTTTACTTAATGCGTATGCTTATATAGAAGAAATTAAAAAGAACAATTAATTGTACTCATGAATAAATCCAAAATAGAAAAAAAATTGTAAATGTTGCACAATATAGGGCATATAGGTGTCGTAAACGGCACGAAAATGGTCCCCTAGATAAAGAAAAATGATGGAATCATTTGCGCAGGGATTTGATCAATATCAAAGAAAAAGAGAAAAAAAAAAAAAGACCTGTGAGGTGGAAAATTGAGGCGGCTTCATCATTAGGAATGTGGACAATATATACTAATTGCGTTAATTTTTTTTATTAATTAGTATCTACTTAATTTCAAGTTTAATTAGGTGGTGCTTAGATGGTGGAGTACTCCAACGAGGCAAGGACTAAACGTAGACTAAGAGCAGTTCCCTTTGGACCTTTGAGACATAAATACCTTTTTCATTTTACCGATTTGAATTTTTAATTTTAGATTTTTATAGTTAAAAACTCTCATAAAATGTCACATTTAATTTTTTTTATTACAATTAAAATACTCAGAAAATGTCACATCTCAACTCGAATTGAAAATTTAAATCCACAAAGTGAACGAGATCAAAATATGTCACACTTGTAAATAATTATATAGCCTAATTTTGGGGCGCCCAACATATGGAATTATTCATTTACTTTATAGAATTTTTTTCTAGTCTTTCCTCTTTTTTTAGAACGTTGGTGTTTTTTACTTCTCAGTCGTCGGATCTATATTACTTTTATAATTTAATTTAACTTTTGATTAATTTAATACAAATCTGACGGCTGATAAAGAATTCTAAAAAAAAAAAAAAAGAACACTGTAGAAATTTTTTTTTGGTGATGGGTCATGACTCATGTCCCTATTAAAAGAATCATACATTTTTGTTTTTTTATGGCACGTGCTTGGCAACCGTCCACCCATATATATGTTAGTTTCCGAGAAACGTCTCTTGTACTATTTGCTAAAGTTCATGTTTTTGGCTTCATTAATTAGGAAAAGTTTTCAGTTGATTAATTATTGTTGATATCTTGTTTAGTATATTAATTAATGGCGTAGAGATTTTGTAATGCTCCCCACCTGACAAATTAAGGTAGTACTACTGCATATTCTCAAATTTAGATATCTATTTATGTCTCGTTTATTTTGTAGATTTAAGTTTTTAATTCGAATTGAAATGTAATATTTTTTGAGAGCTTTTAACTGTAATAGACAAGTTAAATGTGATATTTTTTAAAAAATTTTAACTGTAAAAATTTATAACTGAAAACTTAAATTAGTGAAATGAATGAGACCTTAGTTACTTAAGAAAATTTGAGTTCTACAAGGGAAGTAGGGAAGTTGAGATATATAGTTGAAGCTTAGTTAGTCTTAAATAATTGCCAATTAGGAGGTTATTAATGACAGCACATGAAAAGATGCTTTATATGTCTATTAATTCAGCTAGCACTCACTTCAAACTTTCACCTCTTTTATGCCTATGATGATTATCATATATATAGGATAAAAATCATTCATGTTTTCAACGTAGAAAAAATGGGCTTCTATAGCTTTTGGCGCTTTTTTTTATAAAAAAAAAAGGGTATCTTTTTTTTTTTTTTTTTTTTTTTTTTTGGGCTCAAATAGTAAAAGTGTAACTTTTTCCGGACCTTGTTCCTTTTCCCTCTCTTATCCGGGACACTATGTTTTCAACCATCCATGAGTGTCTGAAATTAATTAAGGAAATATTCTTTGTCCATATTAGTTCATGAAATGAACCCTCCTTTTGTCACCTCAAGACACAAAAAGCAGCCTAGCTAGCTAGGCTTAATGTGGTCAACAAATGGGTGAAATTGAAAAACGGATCAGCTTAATCACTACTATATATTCAGCAAAATCACTACTGTATATTTGTTATTTGACACCACTAATTTTCAAATCCAATGAACACCTCCTGGGTTTCTCTTTAACACGGAAAGTAGCTAGACTTGAGGGCAATTCACAAATAAAAAATAATACTAGAGGATTTTGAATATTAGAATTATTTTTGAACTAAAATTGCTACAGACACTTAGGGCTTGTTCTTTTGCCCTTTTTGAGTTAGGTGATTTGAGTGTAGATTTTGAGTTGAATTTGAGTTATAACTTGAGTTGAAGTTGTAACTTGAGTTTGTGTTTGGTTGTGTACATTTGAGTTATGGTTTGAGATAAGAATCTTTTTGAGTTTGTGTTTGAGTGAGTCAAAACTTGAATTTGTATTTAGATAGTATTTTAATAAAAACTCAATGCTGATGGAAAATTTTAATAGGGTATATGGGTAGGGTTTTATTCGTCTTTTCGTTATCAACGCATAGAAAAAAAATCATCTCAATCAGAATTAAAACGAAAAAGTTATAATATTTTTAAGAATAGAAAAAATATTGTTCATTAATTTAAGTTCGAGTTTCTGAACTCGAGTTGAAGGAGAAACTTGAACTCGAGTTTTAGTCCCAAACTTGAATTCAAACTTAAAAAAATATGAACTTGAATAAAAGTTGTAACTCGAGTTGCTTTTTTTGAGTTTTTGACTCAAAAACTCAACTGCCGAACAGCCCCTTAATTAATCTTCTACCAAAGAACACTAAAAACATAATTATACATAAACAGTGTTATTTAATCTAATCATTCACTCATACCACTTTTGTGTATGTATTTAGCTTGAATTTACCACATAAAAATGGTATATATTGATGTATTGATATGACCTCTTTAAAAATGGTGGGCACGTATTAATAATAGTTCACCATTATAATGGGGGCAGCTGTCCTATGACTAAGTTCTCCTTATATTTTTACCCCATTTTTACAATTTTTGTTATAGTTTACCCCTTGAAACTTTTTAATTTTCAATATCTATATATAGAATTTTTAAAAAGTTGCACCAAGTTTCAACTTTTCAGTACAATCATATTTCGAAACTAAACATAAATCGAAACTAAACATAAAATAAATTAAAGATCAAGTACACAATACTTATACTATAAGTTTTACAAAAAGATAAAAAAAAAAGGAACCATTATTTACGTATAAAGTTGGCTTTTTCTAATTCATTCTATATTCAAAAAATTACATAGATATATATATATATATAGAGCAGTCCTCGTTCATTTCGTTGATTCGAGTTTAAAATTAGAGTTTTGTTATAGTAAAAAGCTCTCAGAAACAGTCACATCTAACTTTTTTGCTACAATAAAAAGCTCTCACACAAAATCACATCTAAACTCAAATTATAAACTCAAATCAGCAAAGTAAACGGACCCTATATATACGTATCTCATAAGTTGTCAACTTAATTTGTGCAAGTTGATGATGATGGGCACGTGGGGAAGAGAGCGAGAGGTGCATTGCACATATATGATCAGATTTACACGTGCCTTTGAACGTTGAAAAAGAGACAAAACAGGTTGCGAAAAGGGACGACTGCGCAGCCCCTCCTTAAGCATCAATAGAACTACAAGAAATTGGAAAAAAAAAAAAAAAAAAAAAAAAGCATATACCTTCTAATTGGCCGTAGATTTTACTTTGGAATTTTTCAAATAGATGTCGTTGAGCCGTCCATTAGTATACACAATATGTCACAAATTTTGTGGCAGTTAGTAGAGACCAACGAACATTAATTGGATCCCAACTTCATATATAAATATATATATATATATATATTCTAATGTCGTTTTCAATTGGCCCCTATCAATGGTGCCCAAATGGTCACCGACTCTACATCATCCTTTGAACTTTGTAACTCTTTTTGGGGATATCCAACCATATTTCCATGGAGTGGTGAGAATTCTGGTCTCCTAGACTCAACTACGACCAAAACAATTGTTTAAGAATTTTGTGGTCTCATTGTCATCAATTGACACTCTTCTATGAAAGAAGAGAAATGAAAAGTAATTAGAGAAAAATCCACACAATTGATGTACATCCTTTGTTATGATAAAAAAAAACTACCGTGCATGTCGGGTTGGAATTTTTCCTTTGGTAATTAGGTCACATGTTTGGACGTTACATATGTAATGTCTCACGTCATTTAGAGAAAAAGTATATTTTTCTTTTAGAGGAGAGAAGAAGGTTACACCCTATTTATATAAAATAATTATTTTGGAAAATGACGGATTGAAATAATAAGTGAAGTGGTCCTAATAAATGGTACCAATATCAATTTCTATTTGGCTTATTGTTACGGTTCTAAATTTTTATTTTAAATAAGTTATGTATTTATTCTTTTTAGATAATTTTACCTAACTCAAAAACGCAATAGTTCATAAAATTTATCCCAATGTTTTACGCATATTATATATTCTGTACGTGTTATGCTTTTAGTGGGATAATGTTCACTTGTTTCTAGATATAAAACCATCTTCAATATGCAAATATTAATGCGAATGTTATAACTGGCACAAAAAGTATATGCAACCAAAAAAAAAAAAAGGAAGAAATTTAAGCTACTCTGTGTTAATCTACCTTAAGCTCTGGAACAAGTAAAAGAAGAAATTTTAAATTTTAAATAATAAAAAAGGAAATCAACACATAAATCGATAAGCAACTAAATTTTAACAAAATTTTAACATATCAGCTTAAGGAAATCTAAGTGAATTAGGGCTTTTACAAGACTTAAATAGACAACGGTAAATTGTAGTAAAAAAATCTTTTGGATAGGAACGCTATAAAAAATGTTAGAGATAGTTTTTTTTTTTTTTTTTTTTTTTTTTTTTTTTTTTTTTTAAAAAAAAAAGTGAAGCATAACTTAAAAATTTAAGAATAAAATTCAATCTTTAAAATCTTAGTCAGCAATACGTGGCTCCGCCGTTGGGCGGCAGACTAATAGAATATTTGATTTTTCTGGTAAAAATTTTGTTAATAGTACTGGCGGCTTAATTCTTAAGGAAATCGCAGCGAGAGTTCTCATAATACCTAAAAGGAGCCAAAGTCTTTTCATTCTTGTCTACTCTCTTGTTTTTGGCAGTAATTACCAAAATACAAACCCCATTATATATGGTGTTGAATCGGAACCCAGGTACACTAGTCTACGTAGCTTTCAAAGTATACTTGCACACGATTGATTAATTCTAGAAGAAATGACTTGTAACAACCCAACAGCTTCGTAAAATTGATTCTAATCCACACGTTGACATTACTATATATATACACACACACACACACACACACACACACACATACATATATACATATATATATACACACATAAATAAATTATGAAAGAGCAACATATGTAATTATTTTAAGTTTGTAGTATGATCATACTACAATACGTAGAAATTATGGATCTTCTAAACCCAGATATGTGTACATGAGTTGACTTAAGACAAAAATTCATGAAATTAAACGCTAGCTATCTCTAGTACTACTATAGGAGTAACATTATTATTACTGTGTGTGTGTGTGTATATATATATATGTGTGTGTGTGTGCGCTGAAGAATTGTAATAATTATAGGATGTTGAAGGGACGGCCTTGCTTCATGTCTAATATTACTAGACTTTTCGCGGCCGTACTTGTAGGAGTACTACTAGATAATCTCCGGGCAATCGGCAAAGGCTGCTGATGCTATCTCTTCAAATAATGTTATTCCATGCATGATCAGCTGCCATTGTTGAAGGGAAGACCTTGCTTCATGTCAAACAATCCTCTATGTTGGAATTATCTGATCCACGTACGTAAAAAATAAGAACTTTAAGCGACAATTCAATTATGTTGTATAAAATTTTAATACAAACAATGACCCGGCACGGGCGGCGGCTAAACTGGTCATATACACTTTCTTGTAGTTTTCTTCTGGACTGATCTTTAGTCGGTTTCTGACTTTACAATAGAAGTCTCATTTTAGTTACCAAACCTATGTTTTTGGTTTATTTAGAAAGTTACCCTTGGTCTTTTGTTTCATCAAGTTATGTATACGTTCATATAATTAGATTCACTTCTTGCTCGTTAAAAGGGAATCACGTATGCCATCCCATGCACCCCCCATATTCCGATCGTCTAATAATTAACAAGACCTTTTATATTGTGGAATGAGGACGAGGATGAGGCGGGGTTCGTTGGCGGAGTGAGGCGGCGGCTAGGGTGGGTTCCTTGTGTTGAGAGAACGGGGTTGGTTGGCTCATGATGGACGGAGGCGGTAGGAGGGGTGGTTGGTCTGAGGAAATAAGGCCGCGAGGGACGTTAGAATGAGTAACTTTTATTAAGGTTTTTCTATTCAACAAAAAAAAAAAAAAAAAAAAAAAAGGATTTTTCATTTTTAAAAAAATAGAATTCCTTCATTTTTTTTTTTTTTGCAAGTGTATTTTAAGTTTTTTTACCAAGAAAAGATATAGATAAACGTATCAAAATGTAATATGATGATGTACTCTTGATACGATAAAAAAAAAATTAAGGTATACTTTTTAATAAACTTAAAACACATGGAACAAAATAATAAAAATAAAAATTTGTAATGATGGATGACTAATTTTCATCAAGTCTAGGGACTACGTAACATCTACTGCGCTCAATAGTCGTGAGACTAAAACAAAATTTCCGTGATAAATTTTATTTAAACCAACCATAAAATTAATGCCTTTTCATTTCTTTTTTCTTTCACGTGAGAAAGTTTTCTAGAGAACTTTTTGAATGTCTTCTTCTTTCCGAATCTTACGTTATTGCAATGAAATTTCAAATATGGGGAGCACAAACGATATATGTGTATAAAAATCGTCCAAGAAAAGTTTCTTCTTGTTAGCTATTATCATGTCAAAAGCAAGTACACATAAACCAATAGTTTCGATGGAAAATTTCAGCCTTGATCATTCCAACAAGAACGCATACTTCAACAGTGCACCAAAGTTAAGCTAACGTACACACAACCAAAATTTAAAAGTTTAAATTTGGTCAATATATATGGGAAGCGACCTTCGTATTCCTTGACTATTTAAACTTTGTTGATAAGATTCCTACCTAACGGAAACTCTCAAGTCCAAACTCACACCTAAATAAAGCATTATATATATATATATATATATATATATTCGTCTAAAACAAGTCACGATGAATCAACTCAGTGGATCAATATATATATATATATGTATATATTAATATATACATATATATATATTTATGATCACTTAATATGGCGTACTTATATATTAATATATACATATATATATTTATGATCACTTAATATGGCGTACTATAAATACACACCATATTTGCATGGTAATTATATAATGCGATAGAACTTAAGGACCGCATGCTTCTTTTTTTTTTTTTTTGAGTCACTCCCTGAGCCTCTTCAAGCTCATGGTGTAATCATTTTTATGCTTGTATATTCTTAATCACATGATAATTTAGCACGTAATGATTCCTGAAAATGTCACATGAATTGTTAGAGTACTTAAAAGGACAAATTTATGTATCATTCTGATTGACTACGAGGCTCACGGACACAATATTGATGAACTAAAGCGCAGTTTGACAATTGAGCAAATGAACAGAAAATGTTGTGTCTAATATATGTTGAAACAATATATTGTTGTATCACATATTATAATCATTATAGTTGAAAAAAGGGGGAACAAAAAAAGCATATGCGAGATCAGCCTATAAGCGAAAGGTCCTTCCCATCCGTATATATGTTTGAAAAATATGCGCATTCTCAATCCTTACGATACACGAGCAATTCAAAATTGCAATGATTGTGGATTAACACTGGAGAAAATTACGACATTAACCATTCTTTTTTTCTAATCCTATAGAAGAAATCTAGATCTGGTTTTAGATTTTTTTTTTTTTCTATTTGGTTTCTGAGAGAGAGAATTTGAAAAAAAAAAATGGCATAAGATAACTAACAGAATATGAAAAATAACCTGCAATATGAAAATATAACCTCCAGATTATTAATGACATAAGATAAATTTATAAACAATAGCAGACATAAAATTGTGTTATATTTTTTATGAATTTTTTGAAAATTTCCCATGATACTATCCCGCTCCTAAAGCCGCTCTTCAAAAGAGGAACATCATATAATTTGTTTGGAGAGTTCTTTTATCAGGGTATAGAAAAAGTTTTTTTCTTGGGCACCGCCCTTACCTCCTAAAGTTTTCGTGTTTTTACAACTTGATTCATCAATTTTTAATTTAGACAATTCACTCCCTTTAACTTATTAGACTATTGTAATGTGGCTCATCTTATTAATTTTACTCTAAAATTTACTCGAATTAGCCAAAATTGGAAGATGTACACCTAAAATTCCTCTGACCACATCCACTCTTTGAAATGTGTATGTTTGGCCATGTTAGCACTCACATATGACATGCTACTTGTTAAAATAAATGTTTAATAAAGTATTTTTTAACAAATTCAAAACAAATAAATTGTAGGAGTAAAAAATTGGGATCCAAATTCATATGTGCATAATAAATCATCACTCAAATTAATTATATTAACCATAACAATAACAATAACGATTTAAATAATTTTTTATTAAACAATAAACAATACCTTAAAACCGATCTAACTAATTAGATCAATTCAAACACGAATCAAATTACCACCCCATCTCAAATCATAGTTGAACAAAAGAGTACCTCCAATAAATTTTCACCAACGACCTTTAATTAAGGCGTATTGTGGTGGCACACAGTTAAATAATCCATTAAAATAACTTATTTCTGAGTAATGGGGTTGGAACAAAAAAAGGCGATATGGGAAAGAGGAATCACATGTAAGAACGCATCCGAGGCCTTGTGAGAGACTGTGCCCCATCAACAAAAATGGTAGTGCCTGTCATGTACTTTGACCCATCACTTATTAAATAAATAACTGTTGAAACGACATCACTCTTAGGGTCTAGCCATCTCTCTAGTGGAGCTGCATCCTTGACGAATTTCTCTGCCCTATCTTTCCCCACTGCTTTTGGGTATTCATCTTCTATGTGCAATCCTCTTGCTATTGCATTCACCCTGATCTTGTATTTCCCAATTTCTAGAGCTGATGCCTGAAATCAATACACGTGACAAGAGTGTGTTATAGAAAGATATCTGGACTAATCTTATGTGTCATGATAGTGATAAATCCTCATCAGACAGTCAGTGGGTGCCTTTGATGGGCCTACCACTTGTGTCTGATCTATTAGAATAGATGTGTTTAGATGCAAGAATGATCTAGATATAATTAATTTTAGTTATTATTTTCCTCACTTGCAACCCCAAACTATAAAAACTGATCATGAGGATTTTCAAAACAAAACAAAGCCCACAATTTGCGCCTCATAATCATTCAATGTAACCTAAAGTATATTTTTGTGCAATATGGAAAGGCAATTGATTTTGGTAACAATGTTTCTGCAAGGTGTTAATTTGTGCATTTCCTTGTAAAGACTAAAGATTTGAAAGGATTGCTAGGCGTACCCGAGCTAACTGCTGCAACCCCGCCGCACATGAAGTATATGCGGTGGCTCCTTGATAAATTCCTCTTTCACCACCGGCAATTGTGGTCAACAACACTATGGAACCTCCTGACTTGTTGTCCCGCATCTTTCTTCCGACGGCATTTAACAAATACCACGGAGCCATGAAGTTTATTTTCATTATCTTTTTGAACTCGTCTTCGGTTAATTCTAGATGGTTTTGTGACTTTCCTGTTTCAAGCAATCAGAAAATGGGAAATCTTCTTAGCTGCCACAAAACTGCGTCGGCCGATCTTGACATGCATGCATACACACACACACATATTGCTAGCTTACAACATATAACATGGGAAAATAAAAAGTTGTGAGGTTAGAGAAAACTTATTGTGAACGAATTCTGTTCAGAAGTAGTAGCGAGCATATCTCTTCCCACTAAGGAATATAATGAGAAATTAAACTTGAAAGATTATTTTCCAACAAGTAGTTTTTAATATCGACGTTAAATACTCGTATCCGTTATAATGTGCAGATTTAATTCATGTGGTTTCCATCGTGCAATTTTCCCAACAAACAATTTTCCCACGTTTATTCTAATTAAATATGGGGACATTCTAGTAGTCATATTCCCTGTTATTTTCCACTGAAATAGTAATGATTAGCCATCTCTCGTTATAACACTAAACAAAGCTATATATCATCAGAAGTCATGCTGGGGAAAAGTTTCCATCTGGGTTGAACAATTGCTAACATCCCACATGAACAGTGTATCTAAAAAGTTTGACCCAACCATAAAGCATTCATTCTTCATCTCCTTCTTCACAAAGTTAACCTTAGAATTAGAAAGAATCGCATATATGCACATATATATATATATATGTATGGTATACATATACATAGTTTTAAGCATCCTATATAAACCACTAGTTCAAAGTAATAAAGACATAAACTTTCATCATTTTACCAAACGCAAGCATAATTGTCGAACCATGGTCTTTAGATTTTACATCCAAACTGCAGCAGAAAAATTTTATCCCAGTGAAAATTGACAGTTCCACTGTAGAAATGTCCTTACTCCTTAGACAACTTTTACAAGTAAAATTAATAGACAAGGGCCCAAAAGGTGACTTTCGAATGACAATAATTAACAAAAGCAATTATAAAAGTGTTATGAATAGTAACGGTTTATTTTAATTAAAGTTACTGTTTAGAATTTTATTATATAAATAGTAACTGTAAATAGTAAACACTGTGTAAATAGTAATCGTGAATAGTGTCAAATTTTTTTTTATAAATAGAACTCTAACACTCTTTATTTTATATAAGTTAATAAGATTAATGAAATTCTCTCTCTTTAATTTTTCTCTCTCTAAAGTTTTTTTTTCTTAGTTTTGTATTTTCTTAATTTTCATAACAAAAAGTAAATTTTTAAAGAAAAATTAAGAGAATTATAAGTTACCATACCAATAGGGCGTGTTTCGAAACACCACATTTATGTCAGATCATACCATTTCATTTTGATCAGATATATCATATTCATTCTTAAATATGCACCACCGATAGTGATGCAGTACCTTACCGTTTTTTACCAAATCAATTTCAACTTGCCCAAAATTAAAGTAAGAAACCAGAGGCCCAAAAAGACAACTTTAGTGTTGTAAAGTGGCACAAGAAAAGACTTTAGAAGCAAGCAAAACCCATCTCTCAACTCAAAACTAACTCCAGAAGTCATTAGACAATGGCCCAAAATGCTTGAAACACAAAAATCACGGGACTCATTATAATAGTGAAAAAAAAATAACAGGTGCGTTAGAATTAGTTTTAAAATAATTTTATTTTGTTTTTATAAAATTAAAAATAAAAATATTTTTAATTTCAGACATAAATTATTTTTAAAAATGCGTTTGGTAATTTTATTAAGAGATTATTTTTAGTTTAAAAAAAATTAAAACTCTATTTAATTATACAATTTTTATTTTTAATTTAAGAGCACTTAGTTCATTTAAATCCACACCTACTTATAAAAAAAATGCATTCACCTAAAATTAAAAATAAAAAACGACTTAAATTCATTTTCAGTTTTTAAATCATCTTACACTAAATTGAAAACCGTTTTTATTTTTATTATTTTCACATTTTTCCTCCAAACGCATTTTCTTCCTCAATCTATATTTTTTTATCTCGAAAAAGGTGAAAAATTAAAAATACCAAATAACAAGTCCTTCACCTGAAAAGCATTTATAGATCCATCCGTACCTTCATAAGTGAAACAATGCACAAAAGCATCCAAATTGCCTAAAAACTTGCATGCCTTATCCACTGCCTCATGGAAAGGCCCTTCTCTCTCCTCCTCCATATCCACAGCAACCACATCCACTGGCAAAGCACCCTCCACATCACATCTTATCTTCTCTGCAACATTCCGGAGACGCCTCTCATCTCCCATCAAAACCACCCTACAAAAGATAAAAACGAAATAAATAAATATATATCTGCTTTTAATTTAACCACAGTTTCTGTAGTATTGTAGAGAATATTATTGAACTTGGAGAACTAAGCTGCAAAGTGGGTATTTCTCAAAATAGTGTATCATATCAAAACACATTAAAGTCTGGCATTTATTTTCTCATTCGACGCTACTAATAATTGGTGTAATTAATGACCAGAGAATCTCAGAGCTAATTCTGATATCCTTTCCTGACCAGTTCCCAAGATTCAGATCACTTTGATCATTGGCAAAATCCATACCACCAAATCTCTTAAGTAAAAAAAAAAATAAAAAAATAAAAAATAAAACACTCACACACTAATTGAAGCCTTTGGTAGGGTGAAAGAAAAAGCAAAACCCAGATAAAATTGGCTCAAATCGAGCAGAAATTTATATTTTTACTATAGAAAATAGTGAAAAAAAAAAAAGATTTGAGCTTGGGTTTTAAGGTAAAAGAATATCTGAATTAAAAGGAGAGGAAAAAAAAGATCCGAGTTTAATATGATAGAAGTAGAAATTACCTGCAACCTCTGCGGGCCAAATGAAGAGCTATGTTGTTGGAAATCTCGTCTGCGTTGGAAGTGAGCAACACTTTCTTTCCGCCACTACTTCCCATGGTGATGTCTGAAGTACTCATGTGAACCACTCGAAGATTTAAACCCCCTTATATAACAACAACAATAATAATATAATAAGAATGACAATAATATTACCCACCCAATAATGCATTACAATAATATCAAATCACAGAAAACAAAAGAGTGAATATATATTAAAAACTTATTATAAGGTGGGAACTTGGGGATTTGTATGCATATATATGATAGAACAATAAAATAGTGTTTATTGTAATATGAAAATTAAATAATCTCACCTCGATATGAAGTCTGAACTTTGGTGGGAGAAAATAAAATTACCAATATTCTTTGAAACCAGTGATCAGTCAGAGTCGGCTTGTGGAATGGAATCAAATGGAAAAACTTTAATCAAAGATTCGAAATTCGTAAATACGTCTAATAATAACAACACCCTCCTCCTCCTCCTCCTCCTTCTTCCTCTTCCTCTTCTAATTAAGGAGCGATTTTATTGAGATATATGGACTATCAATTTATGAAACAAATAACAGAAATCTCCGCCGATGAACTGCCTAATGAGGAGTTGTTACCCTAACTAAAGAGATGTGAAAACTGGGGCATATAATGATCATGTTCCTGAAAGCCTCTATCCACTTGGTGGCTGCTGATTGGCTAGTGCCAACAAACATATGCCGTCCTTCAACTAAAAACCCCTTTTTGGGAAACTTTTGCAATTATGAACCAAAGTCGAAAGATATGTTGTGCCCTCTTTTTTTCAAAAATTATTAGATATTAGATTGGATATGTTGTGCATTATGAACATTAAATCATAATACAATTAGGAAATTATAAGATACGTCTTATTACAAAATTATCTATGATTAAGCAATTATTTTCCCTTTTCACAAGACATGGGGTTGTTCTTCGACAACAAAAACTCAGACAAAATTTTAACTCGAATTATAACTTTATTTAAGTTCATATTGTTTTGTAAAATTTGAGTTTAAATTCGAGTTTATGATTAAATTTGAGTTCAAATTTTCCCTTCAACTTGAGTTCATAAACTCGAACTTAAGTTAATGAACAATATTTTTTTTATTCTTAAAAATGTCATAACTTTTTCATTTTAATTCTTATTGAGATGATTTTTTTTCTATACATTCACAACGAAAAAATGAATAAAACTCTACCCATAAATCCTATTAAAATTTTTCATCACCATTGAGTTTTTATTAAAATACTATCTAAATATAAATATAAATTTTGACCCACTCAAAAAGATTCTCAATTCAAATCAATACTCAAATATACACATTCAAATACAAACTCAAGTTATAATTTTAATTCAAATTATAATTCAAATTCAACTCAAGATCATCATTCAAATCACTCTAACTTAAAAATACAAAAGAACAACTCATAATTTCTTCAAGTGGTCCACAATAAGTTTTAATGACCTATTGCTACATATGTAATTGAAGAAACCCTAACCGGTCGAGAAGGGTTGACTTTCGTGGGCCCAAGAGTCTCTTTTCTTTTTCTCTCTCTCTCTTTTTTTTTTTTTTTCTCTCGGCGAACAATTATTTTTTTTCTTTTCCTCGGTTGTGGTTGTTGGAGTCTTGGAGACGACTCATGGTAGAATGAAGAAGGCGCTGAGAAAAGTTTGGTGGAGAACCACTGGAATTCTTGTAAATTAAAAATTAAATTGGTACTTACTAGTGAGCCCCATCTTTTTTTTTTTGTTGGAAATAAATGCCAATTTTTTGGACCAATACTAAGTTCTCTGTCCGATGTTGCTGATCGTGTTTTTTATGATTTTTGTCCCTGCTTAGATTGATATTGGATTCTTTTTTTTTATTAGTTAATTGGTATTGCGCATTATTAAACATGGTATTTTGATAATTAAAATTATAAAAGAAAGTACGCAAAGATAACAGTTTGATAGAAGTTTGGCGATTCATTTAATATTTATTCTCATCCATTTAGTTTGAAGAGCGATCAATGATGAGTTCTAAATTATATTAGAAAACTTCATCTCAATTGTTTCCCTGTGGGACAGAAATTTGTTAATACGGTTTAATTTTTAACATTTTTAAAATGTGATGTCCAATTTACTACTTGGCAAATGTATTTCTTTGGCCCCGCCCCCCACCAAAATAAATTTAAGCATAATTAATTTCACCAATTCGAATTTTGTTATAGTAAAAAACTCTCAGAATCAGTCACATTTAATTTTTTTTATTACAGTAAAAAGCTCTCACATAAAATCACATCTCAACTCGAATTAAAAACTCGAATCAACGAACTGAACGGGTCCTAAATAAATAAACAACTACAACAACCAAAACGTTTTCCACGAGTTAATTAATAAGTCCTTATAATGCAAAGCCATCGCTCTCACTTTTATAAATCACGGTTGAACTGCAGTTGATTGTGAGTTAGTAAACTGTATATTTTTAATTTATGAAATTATATCTTTAATAATTGAACTTGACATGATTTAAACCAATGTTTTTAATGATGGTTGAATTTAATTGATGTATGAAATTCTTTATATCTGCGATGATGGATCACTGTTGATCATTTGGCCAATGTTAGAGTCAGATGTCAAATTCTAGAAATTGAAACGTAAAAAGTTTTTCCATTTTTATCATGACTGCTCTTGTTTTTGTAATGGATACGGTTAAAAATGGAATGCTTCTATGTTTAGATATGATGAATTCAAATGGAACGTAGAAAAGATGAAGACTTGATATGGGTAGTAATTTGTGGTAGTTTAGTGTAAATTCGCTTTAGAAGTTGACTGTTCATATATTGCTGGTGAACACTCAACTTCAAGATATTGACATCGCTTTAGACTTGATCGTGTGTTCATATATTGGAATTGAGTAAATGACATACTGATGGGTTGTTTATCAAGGGTACTCGAAAGTTTAAATTTTTATTAAAACTATACGTTTATTTCACCGATTTGAGTATAGAATTAAAGTTTTGTTACAGTAAAAAGTTCTAAAAAAACGGTCACATCTAATTTTTTTACTAACTTTTTTATTATAGTAAAAAATTATCACATAAGATCACATTTTAACTTGAATTAAAAACTCAAATCAGCAAATTAAACGGGTTCTAAGATTTTTTTTTAGCAAAAAACACATTTTAAAAAAATAATCATATTGTAAGAATACCCAAGTTCCCCCCTTAAATTTTTTTTTTTTTTTTTTTAATAGCAAAACACACATTGTTTTGATATAAAAACAACTGTTTTGATTGAACACACGATTGTTAGCCCGTTGCCCCGTTTTGCTTTGTATTTATTTAACTATGACTTTTTCTTTGTAAAATATTTTTAAGTAAAAGGTAAAACTGTCCTTTCATGTTTTTATGAATTTGGACCTCAACGCAGTTTCCAGAACCAAACGACAAGTGGACAACGTCCTTTACCGGACAAACGAGTGGAACGACAGGTCGTTTCTAGTTTGTCACTGTAATAAGCCATAAGCAGCTTAGCCAGTCAAGCACAATTCCAAATCCTTCCATGGCGGGCAGCATTTCTGGTCTCAAATTCTTGAAACCGCTTTACCCGCCGCCCACACCATTCTCAAGGCAAGCATTTTCCTCATCTCATTTTACAATCTCACTTATAACACTTTTGACTTGTTTTATTCAGTTTTCTTTTGTTTTCTTTTTTACAATTCTGATTTCAGAAAATCTTCTCAGCCTTTCAGACCTAAATGCGACTACTCTTGCTTCGAAGTAAGTTTCTTTCCACTTATTTTGTTTTTTTGAAAATTTTTCTGTCAAGTTGTATTCGAAGTTGATGAAAATACCGATTACACGCGATTTTTGTGTTTTTATCAGTTGAAAATTTGGTTTCAGCCGCTTGATTAAATTGTTTATAGATTCTAAGCTTATTTGTTTCGCTAAAATTATAATTTGTTTCATGTTTGTGGATTATGCAAATATCTTTGAAACTGAAAGAATACTTTTGAATTTGCCTCTAATCTTCAATTATGTATGTTTTATGTTATTATTATTATTATCTTCTTTGGGAGTAGGATTTGTTATTTAATTGCCGAGTTTAATTACTGCTTATTCACTTTCAATAACTAAAATTTACATGATCTCTCTCTCTCTCTCTTTTATTTTTTATTTTTTATTTTTTTATTTTAAGGTTAGGGATGTTAGCTATAGGCCACCAGGGACCCAGCTCAGCCTTCTAAATTCAGTTAGCTTTTCCCTGCCTGAGAAAAGGTACCAAATTTCTTCTCCTTCAGGTCTATTTGTAAGTTTTAATCATTTCCGCGAATGTGATAGGTTGTAATGGTTAATCACTAAATTGTTTGATTTTTGATGGCCTCTTTCGTATAATTGTACTGAAATCATACGTAAAGAGAAACAGGGCGATAAGATTCGACAACTACGTGAAGATTAGGTTAACATTGTCATTGTTTGTTATCACAGCTTTGGCTTAATTTTCGGACGGAGTGGAAGTGGAAAAACTACTCTCTTGCAGGTCTACTACATTTGTTTGATCCATTTATTTCTATTCCATTTTCTGTCTGTTTTTCTTATATATGTTCCCTTCTTCCGTCCAGCTGCTTGCAGGGCTAAATAAACCGACTTCTGGCTGCATTTGTGTTCAAAGATATGGAAATGATGGATATCCCAGTCAGGCTCCCGAACCCTTGCCCTCAGAGAGAGTTGGTATTGTCTTTCAGTTTCCTGAGAGGTAATAAAAGTTAATTTTACAAGTTGTCTTGCAATATTTTTTCATCTCTAGGATAAGGCGCTATTTGATCCTAAGGATTCTAGTGGAGTGCTGAGAAATTTTACCAATTGAGGTAGTTGTTACACATAGAAATCAATTATATAATACTAGTACTTAATTCCAAAGCCTTTGTTTGCTTGGTCCTCAAAGATATGACTAGCTTATCTAATTTTATACCTGAAACCGTTGTGTAAAAGGATTTTAGTTTGCAAAATTTGCTTTTGGTGCACAAATTTTAAAATCGTGATCTTATTTTCCTTGTAGTAGGTGTTTTATCTGTTATGTTTTCCCTTCCTTTTCTATTCAATAACATGTGGTGTTTTCAAGCTAGGTATTTTGTGGCAGATAATGTGCTTGAGGAAGTTACATTTGGATGGCCTAGGCTAAAGGGTGATCTTCAAGTGAAGGAGCATCTTGCTCTGAGACTTCAACAAGCAATTAACTGGGTATTTGCCATCTGAATTTAACTCGATTATACTTGTTCTTACATTTTCTTGGATATCAAATATTTATGCTTCAAGTATGAACTCTATCTCTCTTTTTTAATTGGTGATTGCAGGTTGGTTTAAATGGAATCTCATTGGATAAAGATCCTCAGTCTCTTAGTGGTGGTTACAAACGTCGTCTCGCATTAGCAGTCCAATTGGTAAGGACCTCGTACAAGTGTAAAGGCAAATTGTAGTGGCATGCACTCAAATGCATAAATACAATCTGTAAGACGCTGAATCATGTTATAATGAGTTCTGCTTTGTTAATTCACCTTATTCCGTAGGTGCAAACTCCTGATTTGTTGATATTGGATGAACCTCTTGCTGGTCTTGGTAAGAAGATGGTTTTCTTCCCTTATTTCACTTTTTCTCTTTTCCCTTTCTGTTCTTTTCTCTTTTCATTGCATCCTCCGAGGAAGTTATCCTACTTAATAAAGCTGCTAGGCAATTTGGCATTCAGGATCCCTGTAGTGCGCTACTTGAAGGAACTTTTTGTTGTTGTAACCTGACAGTGAAGAAACACGCGCTCTGTTATTATTTATATTTTTCAATAATCGTAGTCAGATAACAATTTCAATAAAATCTTCAGTTGATTAACATATCAAGACCCTTGATTTTAAGAATGGTAAAATTTGTTGCAAATTGGCCACTGATATGGGATTCAAGTCGAGTTGTATCGTCGCCACTTAGGCCTAATGGTGAAGAGAGGCATGCTCTTTTTCTCTTCCAGGAAGTACGGTTAAGAAATTGTAATCTGATCTTTGGTTGACTAACACATGGAAGCAGCATGATTTGAGAATGGTAAAATTCCTGTTGAAATCACCAATACAGGATTCAAGTTGGTATTATTTTTTTAAACATTCTTGAATCAATACACATGTTTCTTTTTTCTTTTAGACAAATTTGTTTCTAAAATTTGTCAGTGCTGCTTTGCTGATCAGATTGGAAGGCGCGTGCAGACGTTGTGAAACTTTTAAAGCATCTAAAGAAAGAGTTGACTATACTAGTTGTCAGCCATGACCTCAAGTCTGTCCTTAATCTCTCTCGTTTTCTAGTTCACATTTTATCATTGTTCACTAATCAGCTTATTTTTATATTTAACTGCGTTGTCAATTTGGCAAGATGAAATCAAAACTTCACAGTGAGTTATTTATTAGGATAAGTTTCTACAAGTTTCTACAATCCATTGAAACAAATGAGTTATTTTTCTTTAATCAACCTGCTGACTCATTTCCAGTGTATTTACATATGCTCTTTTTATTTGAATGTGCTATCACACATGCTCCACAGTATGATGAACACTAAGGGCTTGGAACATGATCAGAGTTCAAATATGTCCAGATAGAAACCGTGCTTAAGTTCCCCCCCCCCCCCCCCCCACGCCGATGTTTGATTGGTTGAAAAACATGAGAATTTAAACCCAGACTCTTAATCAAGTAGTAAGAGACGGTCTCTCCTATTTTATGCTTTTTATATTCACTTGACGTTGTGTTTATGGAGCTTCTTCTCGTCTATCAGAGAGTTGGCTGCTCTAGTTGATCAATCATGGGTGATGGAAATGGGTGGGATTCTTAAGGAAGAGCCACTACCTGTTTAATTTGAGGATACTTCTTCCTATACAACTTTGCTGCTGTGACTCTGAGGTTTGATCCAGATGCTACTAATTCTTAATACATATTTATTTCTGGGTAGCAGTGCTTGATACAATTTAGGTGTCGAAAGAAATTCATAACAACAGTGCAACTAATAAGAGCATGCACTTTACAGTGATTTCTCATGCCATGTAATCTTTTTGTCTTTAATGTTTAGATTGGAGGCTTACCTCCATGTATGTTTTATAGAGATGTCTTTGAATAACCGAATGATTGAACTATTTACTTCATAAAAATAGTCATCAAATTGGAGGTGTGAGATGGGATGTATCCCGTGGTAAATGGTTATTTTATTTTCATTTTTTCGTATGACGTACGTTTATTAATTGTAATTAGTTGTATAGAAGATATAGTAATAAGGTTGAACATTTGCTATTCTGTTTATTTTCTAATGATATAATGACTGGTATTGAGTATATAATGAATAACAAGTTGTCTACTTGAATCTCCAAAATATTCATATTTTTTATTATTGCAATCAAATCAATTAGAAATCAACAAAAGAAAAAAGCAAGTGGACCTAACCTATTGAATTATAACCATATCATATATATTGATATTAAAATTAAAAATTGGGAGACTGGAGCTTTTTTTTTTTTTTTTTTTTTTTTTTTCATTTTTATAGTACTTTGGACTACACAGTGATTTCTCAAAATTTTCAATTAACTCTTCTTGTTCCTAGACATTCGTTTTATTGGACTAAATTGATATTCCATTCCTTTACAGAAAAGGGTTTATTCCAAGTCCTAACATAAAAAGTGTTTTAACCTTTTTTTTTTCAGAACAAGATCAACTAATATCATATGTTTTTATAACTTTATACACTGTATTCTAGATCGTAGTTTCAGGTATCAAATATTTCCATCCATACGGATGGATATGACATATTTGTTCCAACAATATGACGTAAAATTAAAATGGGCACTAGAAAGTGGCTTTCATTTATAGCCTCTTATCATTAGATTTTAATTTACTATTATGTTGCATTTCCTATAAGGAAAATTGTGAAAATAAAATAAGAGTAAATTTAAGTATACTGCAAAGTAGTAAATATATGATATTGAAATAGTTTCATGGATAGAGAAATTAGACGAAGACACCAATATCAATAATATAAATAGCAGCTGCAGATATCAAGTTCAACTTTATTATTAGGAAACTTAGTTACAACTTATCATCACACTAGGCATACGAGTTCAACACTTTTGTTTAAGATTAAGATGAATTTATCATCACTTCAATCCATCGCATATAAGAACATTACAAGATGATAGTATAAAACACTATATTGACAAGCTGTATCAAGTAAGCATGAAAACTGAAAGACCATTTCCTACAGCTTCTGTTGCTGGAGCTCCAACACCAAATCTACAATACCAACAGCAGAAATCGGTTAGATCTAAAACATTAAAATGATTTCTCACTCCACCATCAGACAAGACCATACTCCATTCCATAATTTAGTTCCTGGTATCTATGCGTGTAAATTTTTTTACTAATTTTGGAAGGCTGCATTATAAGCTTTTGAGTCTGGTGTTATGAGACGGTTGATCTAGGTAGAAGTTATGAGGAAAGTTTTGATAATAGAAGATTGAAAAGAAACTACGTGCTACCCATTTAGGCAACTCCAACTTCTTAAGATCACAGTTTAGTTGACCATTTGAAAGTTAATGTTTGGCAGCTCATAATTTTAAATAGAACACCAATGATTGAAGAGTCTAGATTATGTAAATTAGCAAACGGTGGTCACATTTTGAACCTATTGACGCTATTCAAGATTGAATGCTGTTTGGGATTTGGTAGTATTTTCATATTAATACTAAAAATTCGGAGCAATGAAAACAATTGGGAGAGGAAAGTATTGTGTTGCGTAACTATTATGTTGAGTAACTATTATGTTGAGTAACTATTGGAATGTACGGTATTGGGTATATAAAATACCAAGTAAATTTTCACTTTTCCGAGCAACTATTAACTTCTGAATGTTCTTTAGTTTATTGGTTTTGTATAAAACTTATATCTCTTACAGAAAAGTAGTTTTTTTTTTTTTTGGTAATTTAAAGGTCCTTTTGTCATGAAAATGCATAAAGAGTGTTTACTTACAGTCGTCATCAATTTTGATCCAGTGCTCGCCCTTTCCTCTAAGATTATTGCAATTCAGACTACTTTCTTGGGGTGAGTTCACGTTCTTCTTGCTGCAGTGGACCCCCTCCATTGACATGGACCCTTGAGGAAACCTTTTGTTGTCTCCACTGAGGTGTATCAGATTGCCACTGGCACAACCAACTTCTTTTGGAGTGTTCTTGGACTTGCATTTCTTAGACCTCACAAATTCTCTTTCAGCCATAGAGCTTTCAGGATGGATTTTTCTGTGGAACATACGCATAACCTGCATGCCACAAGCTTATAAACTTACAATTTAGACTGGGAAATTTCTATATATGTATTTTGTCTAGTTTATAGTGAAGGCATAGACTTTCATTTCCAGATGAAGCATTTCCTTAAAATGCTGACTGATTGGGATAATATAAGAACTCTAGTCAAGATTATCAGCGAGCATTATTAGACACAGTATGACTTGTTGTATGAGATCGAAGCAAGCAATGTTCTGAAACATTAATGCATCTATAGCATGTCCTTTGTGCTACAAAAATACAAATTCCCACTGGATTTCCTATTGAGGATTGTGATTTCTTAGGTCTTATTTTAACAATCAGTTGTAAATTCCAAACTTTTCATGCATTTTACTTCTTCATATATATGGGTATTAGGATGCTTAGACGGAGGGACTGGCATTCAACTTAACAGTGTTTGGATCATTAGAATGGAGTGATATAGTTTGTTTTTTTTTTTTTTTTTTTTTTTTTTTTTTTTTGGGGGGCCATTTTCAGCTATTCAATTTGAATATTTCTTTGTGTATTATCTATTTCCTTTTCTGTTGTCTTTTAGCCAGTGTCTTCCTTGTTTTCCCTTTTCTTGAGATTTTGTTTTCTAATTATTAATTAATAAAATTGTGAACGGGTGGCTTGATGTTCTAGTTTCTCTTTATATTAGTTGTCATTTCTTATCTTTCATTTTAAGAAAGAAAATGCATGATTCTGTTGATCTCACATAATATGTATAATTAAATGACAACTGGTGAGCCATTTGGTCTGCTATTGAATGTGGTATTGGAAGATGTAGTTAACGAGGCTAACCTTCTGGAGTTTCTTCATATTTGAAACTGAATCAATCGCATCGCCAAGTTCTTTCTTGGTTGAAACAGAGTCTGGTGTCTCGCCATAAGAATGGTAAGAACTCTTAGAAGAAGGATTAACCTTTTTTATCATCTTCTTCACAAAACGCATGGCAGACTTATGTTTTTGCTTTTCTGGAATCTCCTCAATAGGACGTTTCTCTGTGCAATTTTCAGCTGCTATTTTTGTTCTATGAAACAGCTCTCCTAGTGATGCCTTTTCTTTTTTAAATTCTATTCTTTCTTCTGGTAGTTCAATTGAAGACCCAAATAGATATCCTTGGAGTGGACATACCTTTGTCTTCCAATAATCTTCATCCTTGGCCCTCTCCATTTGCTTTCCACCAAGTGTGATGGCGCTGACGTTGCTGTTCCTTGCTGACGATTCATCAGAGCCTTCTTCTTCTTTACTTTCAGCCTCAAGGAACTTCTCTAGCTCATAATTGATGAGCTTCAAGTGATTCTCTGTTACCTTTATTCTTCCATCAGTTATGTTCTCCGAAGGCGTAGCAAATGTTGGCGTTTCTGGCTCATTTATGCTTGCATCAGAACCAAGGGTTCCAATTGTGAGAAAGCCATGAAAGAGTTCAGAGATGACAGCAGAGGTTTCTTCTTCTTTCTTTGCTTCAAATTGACAAAAGTATTTTTCTTCCTCCTGTTTCGGCTGCTTCATGGAATTGAATCCATCTCTGGAGCCGTAGTTTGGCTTTGTGTAGGGGTCTTGGTCATCGAGGGAAGTCTGTACAGAAAGGCGCATGCAAGAGTTCCCTGTGTTTAGTTGCAGAAAAATTAGTCACGAGTGAACATTATTTGGAGGGAAAATATTTTCATGTGCTTGAGAAAATGTTTTTTTTTTTTTTTTTTTTTTTTTTTTTTTTTTTTTCAGTTCTTATCTCAACAGGGAAATTTTGACTAATCCATTGGTTGCACCATGTTGAACACGCTAACTTATTCTGCGCGTTTGACAGGCTCATTAGTTGCATCATGTAGTGGTCTGTATGATTTGTGGTACATGGTGGCCCCAACACTTTTTAGCTCTACTTTGTCTGTAGAGTTGTGATGGTAGATATTTCCTATACAAACTCTTGTAGCCCTGATTGACTAAGACCACCTTAGTGTAGTAGATCTTAAGGCTTAGTTGCAGAATTATAAATTAAGTTGGACTGGTATGGCTGCGTTTGAGTTAACTGATGCACGCAGTACTCTTTCACGATTATTTAAGAAGTGGAAAAATAACCAAACTCATGCATACCGATATTCAGGTCCTTGAAAGGCTTGATGCTATTATGCCGAAATTTATGATGCATCCATTCTAGTATCTGCAACAATAGAATGCAAAAGAATTATCAAAAGAAAAAAAAAAAAAGGAAAAAAGAATGCAAAGATGAAGTTACAGGATTGGAAACAAACGTTTTCTCTGTATACTAAATTTAGGCAGAGTTTGGACTTACCTTCATTTTGATGTCCTTGGAGGCTTGATTATCAGATTTCTTAGTTGACAAAGAAACGCAAAATAGTGGCAGGTATAGGCGTACAAGAGGGAATATCTGTTTAAAAGGGTGAAGTTAGAATTGCTAGAAGAATGGGGATCTTTTCATTGTGACTGTTAGTGTCTTGGAAGTCACTGGTTGCTGGAAGGGTCTGAGATGTTGCAAGAAGAGAAAAACATTTAGAAAGATACAAGATTGCGGTTGGCTGTTCTTTTCAATATCAAATCATGTGAACAGGTTTGTGAGTGGTTTAAAGACCCACAAGTTGTTCTTATGTATATTGTGCATATACGTGCGCGTTGGAGTAGGTGTCACAGGTATGTTAATAGATGCAGTAATGCATACATAATCATTGTCTAACGATAGATATAGTACGTGTAGATACAATCAGTCTTAACAGCTGATAAAACTAGTGCACTGAAATGCACTTGCGCGTTTGAATTGCCAAGGTACTCATATTCTGAGTATCAAAGGATATCTAGGGACGTAATTAAATCTGCCTCCATGTTTACTTTCTTCTTGAAATTATTATAATTGCAATAACATATCATACTGTTCAATATGTGCAATTATTATACTTGTTGCAAGTCCCAGTATGATGGACAAGAAATTAAATGTGTAGTTGTTAATTGTTGTTGGTCCTCAAGTTGGTCAATTTATTGTGACATATCACCCTGAGGACCCTAAATAGCGTGGATGTATATTCAGATGGTTTTTTTGTAGGGCATGCTTTGAGTAGGATAATATCCTTGACAAAAACATCTTTAATGGGTTCACCAGTCCCGCTATGATTATCTTATAGCTTAAATATCTTTGCACCAGTGTTACAAGTATAACATGTCCCACAGTTAGACTTCTTCGTGATAAACTCTGCCGCCTTTGTGCAAGTTTAGTTTCTTTGACTGTCCCTTTTGTTATTTTTCCGGAGTTAATGCCATCTGTTTATCTGCAGTGCCTTGCTAAGTTGGGAGGTTGGAATTACTTAAATGTCTAAACTTTATATGATGTTTTTGGCTGATTTGCATATAAATACTATTACAAAACAAAACCTCTTAAATGTTGCATTCAGGTAATTTTTTATGTACAGTTTTGATCAAGTCTCAGACTGCAAATCTTGACTAAAACTGCTGCTTACTTGTTACTATTGCATGTAGAAACTGGTGAAGCCATGACTTGGGACTTAAAATTTAGTCTTTTTTTTTTTCCTTCTTTCACATGCAGGAGACAGGACTAGAAGTATAGAAGCAAGTGGAGTTGCACTTTTACTATTTTTTTGTTCTGTTGTTTGTGAACCCCTCATGTGTACATGGCTGCGCGATTTACAAGCTATAATGCTGCATCGCCGACTACGTAGATTGCCCATATCAAGCATCTTTTGTATGGAGAAGACATGAAAACAAGGTTGCTGGCCAGGTAATATGAGCAAATACCCCACAAGCAACTTTGTAAGTTTTAGTGAGCTGGGTTAGAGGAAGATGTTATGAGCTCTGAGACAAAACCACCCACTTACAGCCATCTTTTCTATTTCCAATAAACCCTTTTTTCCACTAGCGGGCTTGATGCTTTCTGCCTTTTTGGGAAATAACTGAAAAGCCCTGCACGAGTGGCGAATGTGTCAGTCTTAGGTAGAGAGAGAGAGAGAAAGAAGTGCACCTGTGCAAACGTCTTCATTCGTCCGCTGTCTATCTCCACTTTTGCGCATGTAGCTGAGTTGAGAACTCTGATTTGACCACACTTGGGTAGTTTCTTTCCTGTTTTAACCTACAAAAGAATAATAATAATAATAATAATAAGAAGAAGAAGAAGAAGAAGAAGAAGAAGGAGAAGGAAGAGAAGAAAATCCCATCTTTATCTCCCTCCTTTTACTGTGGAGAAAACTTGAGAATTGTGAAGTTGTCCCACCACTATAATTACAGGTATAGTTTGGTCGAGACATGCCTTCCCTAATCTGTCAAAGGTATGACCGATGGAGTTGATTTTGGTGTTGGGGTATCGTCATTCTTAGCTAAAAAGGACAAGCCACTATGGTCTGCTAACTTGGAAGAGTAAGTACACATTTCTAATCAAAATAACACGTTGCCTGGAAATATTTTATTGTAAGTATTGCAATTATTTTTATTGTTATTATAATTATGGATAACTTAGGCTGTTTGTCCGACTGTCACTTTCCGTCATTCTCCGAAGGATCTAGTATCTCCATTATCAGATAGTGACCACGTGAATTCCACATGGATCTTAAGCCGTGTGGCTTCTTTTCCCGTTTCCTGTTGTCTTACTATTTAGGAACTTGTATTCTATTATTCATTGTCGAGATCAATCGTCATCCGCGTCGTCATCCTCGTCGTTTATGGTTATTGTTAATAGATTTTGATTTGTGTTAAGCTATCAGATTGCGTATCTAATTCAGGATTGTCACCCCTTTGGTTTTTGGTATGTGGGGACAGTTTTGGTACCATGATTTGTTTACTTGCGAATTTGCTTTGGCATGTAATAGTCCTAGTTCTACTTTTGAGCATTATAGTGGAATTTCAGAAAGCTTATAGCAGCAACTAAACTCGTGCATTCGAACGCCAATTAGGGGCAATTGACTTTGAAACCCAAACTATATTTGTGGTTGTTACTTTGACGTGAAATCAGTTGTTATCCAAATTCCTGTTAAATGTAGTTAAAGAAGTTCAAAATTTTAGTGGAGTGCCTTTATTTTCATCTTTCTTTTTTATTTTCTACCCTGTAGTGGGTCAAAGGTAGTTGGGACGCCTTCGCTTACAAGGAAAGATTGCAATACTTGCAACGAAATTACTTTCTAATTAAGATTATATTAAGCACCACCGTTAATAAAAGATAAGTATTGTAAGATTTACCATATTGTAAGATTTATCATTGTTCTGAAAGGAAAAGAGGGGAAAAGTAAACGTTGTAAGCTGTAATTTCCAAAGTCACCAACAAGCCTATCAAATCAGTAGCCTTAATGCAACTTACCTCTGTCCTGACTTAGTTGGATGATTTTATCAACTCTGGAAAAAAGATTGGATGCCTTTCTATTCCTACAACTAGTCGCCCAAACATGGGAAATGATGTCAATATCCAAGTAATGATTTTTCTAAAATAACCAACTAAATGGACATGTAATATGGGATTGTGCGGTTTTCAAGAATCTTAGTAGGGTCCTTAAGGTTGTTTGAGGGATAAATATCTATTTACGAGTCATGACTAAAAGGGGTTAGGTAATGGTAGATTTCGAATCCCCTTTTATTTTCCAATGTCCTAGCAGCCTCTTCTTGAGCCTATCCAATTTGGCTTCTTCTCTCTCATTAACACTTGTTTAGCGGTTAAATAGTTAAAAAAGTCAAGGTAGAAAAATGTGGTAAAAGAATTTAGCTTCATCCCACCGTGCACAAATGAAGAGAAAAAGAATAAAAGTTTATGAAAAGGGAAAAAAAAATAACGGAGAGAATTTTGACTTGTGCATTAATGACAAATATTTCCCAATAATCAAAACAAATGTACCTTCCTTCCATAAAAAAAAAAAAAAAAAAAAAAAAAAAAAAAAAAAAAAAAAAACAAAAAAAAAAAAAAAAATTTCCCCCTAA